GTGTCTTGCCTAAAAGTACAACGAAATTGCGCAGCCAGAATTCGAATCCTAAATTCTCGACCGAGAGTCCTTGGTAAGGAGCCTCTCCTACGTATGCGTCCTTATAAAGCCGCGAAGTCGGGGGGCTGTTTTTAAACCTCTGCAGATTATTATTCAAACTTTTGGGTCATCTATAATTAAACAACTCGCTTCACTCCGACAGAAGGCTTGCCAGTGACAAATTATTTAAGAGTGCGTACCTTACCTTTTATCGTCGAAATAATGAAAGTTTTATCGAAAATAAACGAGTCATTGCGACGATTGAACAAAATACTAGGGAACAAATGCCACGTTTAGGAATACTTCTTGCGTTAAGTCAAATCCAAACACTTAATTCGGTTTGTAACAGCTGCTAGAAGTCTCGCTGTGCAACGCCTTTTAATTTCGAATTACTCAAAAAGAAATATGTTCATGTGATACAGTAAAGTTTACCATAGATGCTGTACTTTAGGTGAGTTTGAAACCAGAAACTAACGCGGTGAATGACTTTTCATCTATCTTCGCGCTTCAAATTTTAACTTGCTTAACCTACATGTAAATCAAGAACGATTAAGTCCTTTTATGCTTTGCGAAGCGAACCATTAACACCAACATGGAAATCGCGAAGCGCAAGCGCATTGAGGCTTTAGCGAAAGGTGCAAATGGACCACAAAAATGATGCGGTAGATTTAACGAAAGAACCTCAGATATTTTTTATGAGTCTGAATCTAAATATCTTGCTGATTGCTAAATGGGAAATTAAAAGATGAACAAAAGACTCGCTTATCTTGTGTGTTCCTAATTAGATCCTTCGAGTTCTTTTCAAGAGCTCTAGTGTGTAGCGGCCAATTACAACGTACCATTTACCTCAAAACCAAAAACAAATCCCAAACTGACAGGTGTTTCGCTAACCGAGGAAGAAAATAGAGCGTTTTCGAAATTTAAGACTTCATTTTAGTACAAATAAACCTCAAAGAAACGAGGGCGTTAAAAATCCTTGTGTTTGTCCAGTAAAATACGGTTTAAATAGGACTGCTTTTTGAGACAAAATTTGTGGAATGTGCGTTGCAGCGATTGCGCGAGGGAAGACATCTGCGAGAAGTTCTATTTGAAAGGGTAAGTAAACTAACTCAAGTAAAGAATTATTGTTATGCGTAGGCGAGCACCTTCACTCGGTATTAACTTTCGTTATGTTCGCTTTTAAGAATTTGATTCATTTCATCTTTGGATACATCGTAAGAAAAATTCGAGCTCTAATTCTTTCGAAAAATATAACTCAACGTTTAGAGTCATTTTTAAATTTCCGCGGCGTGATTTTACAACAAAGGTTGATACTTAAATTGAAGTAAAATTTTCATTTGAAAAATTTCGATCGAAATTTTTTTGAAGCTTCTGCTTTACATCAGTCTCTTTTGCAGTCCGATGCCAACCTAATCAATGCTAAGGTTTTTTTGGCATGTTTTTAAAATGGTGTTAATCAATAGTATTTAGTTTACAAATGATAAGAATTTCCTCGCTTGTCGACGCCAGACATGCCATGAAATACAGACGAATTTAGGTGCCCTTTAATGCACAGGGTTTTAACTAAGCAAACTATCTTAGAAACAATCTCTGCATTGTTAAAAATGTTTTAGAAAGTACACAATCTTTCTTTATTTGCTCGGAACTCAAATATTTGAAAATCAGAGTACTTATGTAATTGAAAACTCACCCTGAGATATTCCGGCCTCAACAATAATTTCGCATATCACAATAATAATTTGTACAAGAATCATTGTAGGATCTTAACATGAATGGTTGTTGCCAATGATTATTTCAGTTAACTCGGTGGCGAATTGAAAGATTCTGAGAGATTTTCCTCTTGTGATTGAAATCGGTTACAACATGCTGATCAGCCTCCGCTGTGTTTTTCTGTCGACTTGGAAATAATTTCCCAAGACATGAAATACCATGGTGAAAGGTGACATAAAAATAAACAACATGGTTTGAATAACGTTCGATTTATGAATGGCGTCGCGTTAAAGTTATGAATTTACCTTTCACAACGGTTGAACGGAGTCCAAAATTTCAATCTTTACAATCTTAATTGATAGCGGCATTCGTCTGAAATTAGTCTCCAATTCCGACTTAACACGGCAAATCAGTAGATTGAATGCAAACCTTAGCCTACTCTGCTGGATATATTCTCCGTGGAAACCTTTTGTCAGCGAAGTCTCATTTTTCAATTAAAAAGATGCAACGCAGTTTCCGGTTCTGAAAATTATTTGTGCGCATTGTCGCATATTGTTGGTGAATCTTTTGGGATTCAAACCTAGATTTACTTAAATAAGTTAACTAAGGAATTGTTCGCTTGTGGGAAATGGCTGTGAAACTAAATAAAATGCTGAACGGATTTAATTGCAGTTAAAGAATTTTAGTATCAAGGCGTCAGTTATTTTAATATGAGACCTTCACGAGTAAAAGAGACAATTTAAAGGTGATGGAAAAAAACTGAGGTAATTAAGTTCAATTTTGTCTTGCTAAAATTTTAAACATTTGCCTTTATCATACTTCATGCTGAAGAAGCTTTTTTAATATTTAGATTTTTACAAATATTTCAATTAAATGTAAGTTCATTTGTATGTTGGCTATATTCACACCATTTTACAGTCATTTTTTAAAGAAAGTTTTATATTGGCAGTAGGCAATCGCTTCGAACGAGCCAGAAAAATTGAAATGTAAACACACGTGCCAAGCACGTGCACTTGCGGCTCAAACGGTTTTTTTTTCATCGGCTAAAGGGCAAATTACTTTGTAGCTACGTTAGTGTATGATGGTAGCCTTTTTCAGTCGCAAACAAAAGATGAAATTTAGCCAGCAATGCACACAAAATTACTCAATCTGGAACCAGCATCTCCTCAGCAGGATGGAAGCCATTGGTTCAGTTCCACACCATTCAGAGAGATCTATATCTGAGATGTCATTAGGCCAGAGGGTGCGTAGGATACGCCGAGGGCTCTTGATGTCAAGTGTGGAGAGTTTAGATAAATCCCTAAGAGAAGACAATAGGAAAATTACGGAAAAGCAATGAAATCTCGACGACGGGCTTTTGTATCCATCTAACTGCCTGCTGATGAAAGTTTTAAAAACTTCCAATTACCGTAATGAACAATTGTTGAACAAAGTTGGGCAAATCATAAATTTCTGAGTTAAATGCATAACTTTGCCGTTCGACCCCCGAGTTTGTTTTTCACGATTACTTATGGGAAAATCGCCGACCGACAGCTGCAGAGAAGCGATCTGTTTCTTAGAGGAAAGATCAGACAATGAAATACATGCATGAGCATAATATTACTAATATTAGCATTAAAACACCTTTGAAGGAAAGAGGTGAAGGCATGAGTAGACCAATGTTTGTAAACAGTTATCGGTAGGTCACGTGGTGGGGACACGGCTATTAATGCAAAAAATACATCGAGTAATAACTGTAAAATATATTTTTATATAACCGACGGTATACCACCGATAACCAACTTTTGTAGACCATACCAGATGTCATGAAAAAACCTACGGATGAAGCCCTTGTACTGCCATTCATAGTGTGCTCAGGAGTTTTATAATCATAAATGAAAACTTAAGAGTAATGATGGATAGTTCTCCTCTTTTATCACTGCGATTTTGAAGGTCCTGAAAGAAGAAGCTGGCCACTGTTCCAAGCCAATCCCATCGGAGCTCAATTTAGTATCATGTTTTGTATCCATTATTCCGGTGTTCAATATCACATTCAGCATCCCATTTAATATTCCTTTCATTCAGTGGAGCAAATTCTCAGGCACTCACGGCGACAGTTTATCGAGAATCTTGTTTCCCTAGTGTAAAATGGAGAATTCCTCCCTTTCATTACAGTTCCTCATTCGCATGTTGTTTTTATTAAAAATAACAGCAGCAAAGGCATAATTTCAGGCATGCAAGGTCCTGTCCTGTTATAAAATCTAATGCTCCTTTCAAGATTTTACTTTTAGCCGCAAAGTTGCTGCAAGTTGGCCGCGTCTCAGTTCCTTATCCTTGTGTTACGATATGGAAAAAAAAGTGCGCTAATTTTTGCCTCATTGCATGTCTACTGACATCACCTCTGACCTCGGGCACCTTTCCTTTCAAGAATGGATGTTTTTTTGCTAGCACCTTCTACAACTGATCAAAACAATTCAGAATTAGAAAGAAGACAGGTTTTCCCGGAGAATAGGCCACTCACTATTATTTACCGACTTATTAAAACTCATAAAGCACCAGTTCATACAACTTTAATGACAAGGGATTGGGATTTTTTTATTATCAACATAGGCCCATTTATGGTAATCAAAACTTTACTTCCATAAAAAACATCAATAAAGTTTCATTATAGGGAAATGATAATGAACATTCAAAGGAAAACGACGAAGCGACAAACCGGTATCGTTCATAGCTAAGTGATTTGGTAGAATTAGCGATTTTAACTAACTGTGAAATGTTTTTCAACTAGATGGGGAAGGGATTACTTTTGTTTTGCTAAAATTTCTCCTCACAACGTAAGCTCTGATTAATGCAGATGTTGTTACCATCTCGTTTGTTTGAATTAATAGCGTGTTCAGACGAAATTAAATAGCTCGCAAATCCCTAATAATAAGAAAGGCCGTTGAAATGAATGAACGAACTTTGCTCTAAACTAAAACTGGTCCAAATAGAACCTTTTATAATGTAACCGCTAAACCTGAAAAACTACTCGTACGTGATGCACGAAGCTCGATTACAAATTTACATATAATGAGATTAGGAAATACATCAGAAATTATTGTGCATTAAACACAGGGTGCCTACTGATTAATAACTGCACCTGACAGAAGACTGCTGACTGAGTGAGTTTTCAGTCGAAGCCATTCTGTACTTTGATGGCTGTTTTCGACATCATGATTTGTTGTATTTTAAAGCCTTTCGTTCGTTCGCAGGTCCACGACAACACTTGAAAGATGCCGAGTGCTTTAGGCAGTAGTCGAAAAACGCAGTAAGTAATTTTTTATTTCAAACGAAATTGTGGGTTGCGTGTCAAATAAGTGGGTGTGAAATTTTAACTTGTTTAATGCACGCCGCCGTTCAAAATGTAAAATTTTAAATAATAGCGATTGTGTTAAATTTTATCTAAGTTGTAATTGGTCTTAAATGCTTACGCTACCGAATTTATTTTAGCCCTTTTTAAAATATCATATTTTTTAACTTCTCATGCTTGTATCGCATTCGCTTGGTAGTTCAACTTGATTGTAGCACATTTTGGAGAAGAAAAACCGATGATTGCTCGCGCATTAGCTACATACTCGGAGGCTATAAGATATGCTCTATCAATGGGTCTTTTAAATGTGAATTTTTAGAAGTCGTTGATGTTGAGCGGTCGATTTAGAACAAAGACATGCGTCGTTTAAAAATAATATTGTATTTGCTTTGCTCTTCAAAATGTCTTCACCTTTCAACTGATAGAATAAAGTTATCAAATGATTTTCATAACATTATTTTTGTTATATACATTTTTAGACACAATACGATTTATAGAAATCAGGTTGCGGTGCAGGTCTTTACCATAAAAATACCAAATACAGCATGTGTCAATATTCAAAACCCACTGTTACAAGTCGGAGCTCTTGAAAACCATAACATAGAAATGATAGGCGGCAGACAAATATGTCAAACATTCATCGCTTTTGCCAATATCCCCGGGCGTTCTGACATTAAGGAGCTCACTGCGGAGGAAGGAAACATTGATGGAAACCTGCTTGGTAAGAGATTTTGCTATCTCAAAGTTATCGGTTATCAAAAAGTGGTGGTCTTTTATATAGGGTTTGATTTTAAAGCTTTCGTTTGTGTTCTTGAAATTGCATGACGCCTCGTTGAGACATTTTTAATTTGATATATCGAGTTTAATAAATCATATTTTCAGTAAAACATTCGGTTGTTTACGATATTCATGAAGGTTATTCTATTGTAGCCTGGTAACATCAAAATACAAGGTTATACTCAATATGCAGACATTTCGTTCAAAAGAACGCCGAAAAATATGGTAAAAGGTTTTGAGGGAAAAAATTCTGATTTCTTGGACAAAAGCCACATTTGAAAGAAACCCCATCGCGGCTCATGTATTGCCCCATGTAAGACAGGCTCGAGAAGGTTACAAATTTGATTCCCAACGCTGAAAAATTAATGTCGAAGAGTTGAGAACCAACTTTGCATAACAATAACGCCTGGCGAAATTCCCGTTCGTCGACTTAAAGTAGATTTCAGGGTGATAGTTCACAAAGATCGCATTTAAGGCTGTCGGTATTTATCTATCTTTTGTAGAAAGCATCTGCACTTTACCTGAGACACCGCCGAGGTGATTTTCAAATCTGGATTGTTTGCTTTTTAGCCAACCTCCAGTGGAGTGACAAACTTATTAAAACTTATGCTTACCCATAATTCAAACATCACGTTTCATCTTCGCCGCCAGAGAAAATTACCATTTCTATTTTCCAAATTTTGAATTTCACTCATAAGGGTTTTTATCAGTTCAAATATAGGAGCATATCTAATAACGTTTGTAATAATAAAGACACTGAGTTATGAGATCTTTATGTAGTTTAAAAGCGCGCCCAGAACGGAGTAATTACTGTATTTTAGTTATTCTGATTGCGACAGATGCTTCTTTGCAAATTGTTTAAGCTTTATCTTCTTTATATCTTCAGTTACGTTTTCAGAGGCTAGGATATATCGATGTTCGTGCGCAAATCAATTTTTTTCGCGCCGTCCCAATAATTGTGGTGCTCAAAATGTATCGACAATTGTCATACCGTATAGACATACTCTGTACTGAAAAAAGCGATTAATTCCAAGTTAAGAAAAGCAATGCCTTATAAATATTTAAAGATTTACTATACCCCCGGGCAACTACGAAAAGGAAAAGTTACTCATTTTTTGGACTGTACCAAGGTGTCGCGAAAGTCACTTACAAAATGTAAGTATAGAGCTCAATCTTGTCTATTTTAATCTGCACAAAAGATGGCGAAATATAACTGTTACTTTCCTTTTTAAGGATAGGCGTAGATAACAATTGATAAGAGTTTGAACAAGATTAGTGGGCTCGATCAATTCATCGCCAAATGAGGGCAATCGACGAAATGTTTTTTTCTTCGAAGATTCCAGCACAAGCTCTCTTTTTTGTACAAGCAGAAGGGATACATACACTTTCATAACAAATCGATTTGATAAGCGTCTGTGGATTGTTAAATTTCATTTTTTTTATGCATATTTCTCCATTTCCTTCGAAATAATTTTCAGTTCTACTTCTTTACTAGGAAAGATCTCGCCACCTCCACCGTTTTCTGCGTGAACTAGTTTTCAACTTTTTGTTGCAAAAACCTCAGTATCGTGTTAAAAGCACCTTTCAATTTTTTTGTCTTTCATTCTAATTCTTAGTGCGAAATAATTATTTTTCCCAACGGACATTTCATCATTTTTGGCAAGAAATTAGGTAAAACGTCCAATTGACGAGATCTTATGGAGTGATATTTCCATTTCTATAACTGCCATTTTCAAACACGTTGTTTATCTTACTTAGGTCAGCGGATGATATCCGACGCGCCTTGAGTGGTAGACTGAGCACTACAACAAACCTTGGAGGTATGACGAATAAGGGAGTATCCCCCGGGATGGAACTACTTATCCCAAGCTCCACGCTGGAGAGAGCACCGTCTTCAACTGGGGGACTAAGTTCCAAGAGCTCAAGAGAAGTGTTAACCAATTCACTGAGAAAATTGACCAATCAGATAACAGAATTCAAGAGAAGCTTTACTCAGGAGCAACATCATTGCAATCATCGTCACGGGAGAACGCCGGAAGATAGAGACGGATGGAAAAATAGGACTGAGTTCATCTTGATGTTGATTGGTTACACGGTCGGACTTGGGAATGTTTGGAGGTTTCCTTACTTATGCCAAAAGAATGGTGGAGGTGAGACATGTTATCTAAAAAAAAAAATCACTATTTTCCAAGGGTCTAGGTCTAGAATTTGTTTCACATGATCGATTTTTTCTCATACCTTGTGACCTCTTGGTCTTGAATTGGCGTAGAAAATATCTTTTAGTTGTCAAATATGCAACCCAACTGGTAGACCTATGATTTTTGTAAAGTCAGTGTAAATACAGATTTAATGCAAAAAAATGTAAGATTGAAGAGGTCGCGGACGTTCAAATTGTAAGGAGATAAACTGATCGAAGAAGTATTCATGGAAACTGTTTTATCTTCGACTTCTTAAAAGTATTCATTAGAGACAATTAAAAGACACGATGATGGTTTTCTAAAGAACAGAGTCGCGTCCACCAGCGACTGAAAGGTTTCACGATGAAAATAGGGTAAGGTGTCTTTAATCAGTGTTTTGAGAATTGAATTTTTGATCTGATTTTTTATTAGGACATTGGTAATCATGTTTTAGTTCATTATAGTGTTATGCTTTTAATTTTACCATAACCTGAAGAAAGCAGTTTTTGCGTCCATCGTTATTTATACCTTTATTTCTCCTTAGCGTCTTTCCTTATTCCATATGGAATCATGCTTGCCTTAGAGGGCATACCATTGTATTACTTGGAACTCTGCATTGGTCAGCGGATGCGGAAAGGCTCAATAGGAGTATGGAACGAAATCTCGCCCTACCTTGGGGGACTAGGGCTGGCCTCTATAGTAGTATGCTTTTTAGTATCACTCTATTACAATGTCATCATTGCATGGTGCGTTTTTTACTTCTTCAAGTCGTTTCAAAATCCTTTACCTTGGACATCATGTCCACTCGAACCAGTGACTGTCGGTAATGTCACGACAATGGAGCCTGTGCACGAGTGTAAAATAACCTCACCAACTGAGTATTTTTGGTATCGAACTACATTGGGAATGTCTTCAAGCATTGAGGAAGGCGGCGGTATGAATTGGAAGCTTTGCGCATGTCTAGTTGGAATTTGGTTGGTGATTTGGCTATGTATGATGAAGGGAATCAAAATTACTGGAAAGGTAAATAGAGCCTTAGTTAATTTCAATGTCGAATATAATGTTGCAATGAAAACCAAGATTTCTATCCAATGCAGCGCACTGATAGGCATAGCTGGAGAGGATATTCTTGTAATCTAACGGGATATCGTATTGGTGCAAAGTGTTTAGGTTAAAATTGCGATTTTAGAACTGACGATGTGTTTCACAAAAATTGAGTTCGAGGCATCTTTGGGATGTGCGTAATACTTGATTTAGGACTAACAAACTTACCTAAATGATTTCTTGATTCAACTCCTCGTCAGATAAGGAATTCACTTTTCAGTAATAACGTTAGACTTGAGATCGCAATGACGTCTCTTCAGTTCCTCCAAGATCAAGGATTTCCAACCCAGTATGTTTCTCTTTTGTCTTTATTGCAGATTGTATACATGACTGCCACCTTGCCCCTGATCCTGTTGATAATATTTTTCTTCCGCGGAGTTCATCTCAAGGGATATCAAGAAGGATTAGCCTTACTTTTTATTCCGGAGGTTAGCAAATCTGTCGAAGGGCTAACGCTCGAAATGTCAGCTTCGAAACTCTTTACGATGGCCAATTTACGTTATCAACTCAGTTGAACCAGTCAGTCAGAGTCACCTAGTCTGTCAGTCAGTCAGTCCACCAGTTAATCAGTCAGTTACATCAGTAGGTAACTAGAAAAAAGTCCGTCCATAAAAAAACCAAACTCTTAGTCAGTACATCACTTAGCCAATTGATCAATCTGCAAAGGGCTCACGCTCGAAACGTCAGCTTAGAAACTCTTTACAGTGACCAATTTCCATCATCAACTCAATTGATAAATCCAAATAATCTTGTAACACGCCACATCAATGCAGTACCACCTTTTTTTTTTTAGAAAGTAATCCCCTTCCTTTAGTCAGTGTATTATAGTCAAATAATCAGTGAGTCAGTCTGTAAGGTAAATGGCATATTACTAAAACACTAGTCTGAGGTTTCTTCTGCATTTTTTTCACTAGTTTGACCGGCTAAAAGATCCTCTGGTATGGTTGGATGCCGCTGTACAGATCTTTTACTCGCTGGGTGTGGCTTATGGATCCTTGATAGCCTTTTCCAGTTACATGCCGATCAAGAACGATTCGACAAGAGACGCAATCACAGTTTGCCTTATCAACTGTGCAACGTCCATTTACGCCAGTGTTGTTGTCTTTTGCTTTATTGGTTTTCAGGTATTTTTAGCGATTTTTAATATTTAGTTTCGCGGTATTGGTGCATATTTTTATTAGGCCTTTACGCTCATGCATCAGTATGCATATTCTCCATACTGTTCTCGATACATTTCCTAAGGTGCTAAGCAGGTGAATTTGTTTAACAATCAAGGCTTGTTTAGTTGGTGATCATTTTCTTTCTTCTCGTGACCTCAATGTTTGACTAAGGCCGGGGTGATACAGCAAGAGGAAAGTAGATGCCAGTCACCCTCTTCCCTGTTCGAAAGGAGACATCGTGCCAATAAAATGTTTTACCGACCAATAAAACACAATGACTCTTACGAGAGGAGCGCGAACCCGCCTTTGCCACGACGACGAGCCGACCATCTCTGAAGGGCACAATTTGTATATTCCAGGAGCTTTTATCCCCTATTTTACTCTGTTCCTTTGTTAAATCTTACTCTTCTGGCAGATAAGCATCTGTGTTCTCATTACCTGTTTGTTTGCGGATATAACAAAAATGTAAGGAAAAATCACATTCCCATCACTATTGAGAATTGAGGTTTCATCAAGTCTGTACTATATTTTTCAGGCTGAAGACAGAATGGAGCATTGTCTAGAAGATCAAGCTAAACAGGCTATGCGCCTGTTGAATGGTACAGGTGTCAGCGGTGCGGAAACGCTGGACCAAGCAACATACAACGAACATCTTCAAAGAGCCTCGATTTTCTTCAATGAAACGCTTATTACGTGCGTCAAATCAAAGTTTTTAACGGTTAGTTGTTGACCAAAGAAAGCGTATGCCTTATGGTCATCTTACAAGGACAGTTTTAACTGTATTCACGGTATGGCACATTCCCTGACGGGTGGGCAGTGGAGGTACACCTTAAATAGGCCATACATGTTCAACGTTTATTTGTAAATACATGAAAGTGTTTATATTTCCCTATTTCGAAATTTTTCCCTATTTGTATTTCGCTTATTGCTTTTAAAATTCACTACGAGCCTTGCGCTTAACCTCATCCAATATATATTCATCCAATATATATTGTTATACAGGATATAGAGCTACCATTCTTGTGGAATTGGAGCAAGTTTTTCAAGTCCCTACATAGACACTTGAAAAACCTGGCCTCCACTAGTTTCGCCAAACTAGAATCACCTACGGTCCAATATGGGCCCCATGCTTACGTTACCACTGCTCGGCCTAAATTTTCTCGATAGTCTTATTCTGGGTGTCTATTATTAACCTACTTTGTGGGAGCGTGGTCTCTCGGTTGCGATTTACGCTGTTCCGATTAAAAGATTCTATTTGACTTTTTTAGATCCCATCTGGCCAAGGATTAGCCTTTATAGTATTCACAGACGCGATCAACAAGATGCCTTTCGCGCAACTCTGGGCGGTCATGTTTTTCCTCATGCTGATTACGGTTGGACTTGATACGGAGTTTGGAATGTTAGAAGGCGTGGTCACACCTGTGGTTGATATGAAATTATTTCCGAAACTGAAGAAGGAATATATATCAGGTAAATTAAGCGATCGAACAAGCATAGAAGATAAATTGCGATTTCTGTTTCGATTTCTATTCGTATTTGCATTTGTTCATACACAAGACAGGATGAGGTGGGAGAAGTTGATTCGTGAAAAATTTTTGAAACTATTTCGTGCCACGCTGTGAAGATATTTAGTCCACTGCACTAGTCTTGACTTCTCTCGTTAAGTTTCCGTCTGGTAAGAGTATCAGCCGAAAGAGTTGGGTATTGCCCTCGGGCGAAAGTGTCACTTGATTTCTAGTAGGATTATGTATTTTTTTCCTTTTTTTACCTAAAGGAATTCTTTGTCTGGTGTCCTGTCTGATGGGTCTGCCTTTGGTTCAGTATTCAGGAGAGTACTGGGTTCAACTTATCGTCGCTTATTGTTCTGGTATTCCTTTACTGATTATCGCCTTAGTGGAATGCATCGCTATTTGCTACATCTACGGTATTGACAGGTAAAGCAGAAAAATGTTCTTGCTTTAGCAAGTATCAATCTACCAGTCATTTTCTTTGAGACGTTAAGTCTAATGACTGAATGCTTGTTCGTAATATAAACAGGAGTTATAATGGTAATTGGACTGAGTGGAGTCCGAATGGAGTTTTTGACCAATCGCAGTTCCGCTTCGCGGTCATCGATTTTTTTATCACTCTTATGATTACGGACCAAAATGGACGACATGACGTCCTGCTTCCAATTGATCATAACCATTACAATTTCCGAGAAGAACAAAACAATTTATTGGAAAAAATATATCCGCTAGAGATATTTTCTAAACTAATAAAATACCCCAAATTTTGAAATTCCCCAGTTCTGTTGCGTAATCGGTTGTTGCTATGGAAATTGTTATCGATTCTGTGTTTGGTGGACTTGGTATGATTGGCTGCTTCAACTGTCTGATTACAGGTATCTGATTACAGCCCGACTATCCAATCACACTATCCGAACTGAGGAATTTTTTTACTTTATACGTTGTCTCTAGATTTTGTGATGACATAAAGTACATGACGAATAAACCTCCACGTTTTATTTGGAAATGGTGTTGGAAAATCATCTCTCCGGTCACCATTTTCCTTGTGCTTTCCATGAGCATCAAGAGCATGTCGGAGACTACACCGCAGTACTCAGTCTGGGACGCCAGTAAGGTACTAGTCTTACCATATAAACTTAGTCATTTCCAACGTTACAAGCCCTATTACCAAAGGAATGAAACATATTTTAAAGCACACTTGGATTATTTTTCGTATGACCCTCACCAAAGTAATGACAAATGCCCGTCAGACCCACAAGGGGTCACAGATCTCAAAGCGAAAGTAAGTACACGGCCTTAAAAGATCGCGAAAGACCTTGGTCACAATAGTTAGTTTTGATCTTACACCTGATGGGTTTAGGAAGTGGTGTGAGTTTTCTACACTGTCACTGATGATCTTTTCATTCAAATTTCTAAAGTTTGAATCTTCATTATGCTGAAGTGTTTTTTTTGTTTTTTATTTGTTTTTTTTTTTGTAGGGTAAAGTTGTTTGGACTACGTATCCTCCATGGGCGAAATTCCTGGCCATAATGATCACTCTCGTGTCAATAATATTTATCCCTGGAGTGGCATTGTTACGCTACTTCCGAGTTATCGGAATGGGAACACCTGAGCTTCCCACGGTGATACTGGACGCTGATGTTGACACTGACCTGAATTCTTCGGAATTGCAACCACTTCACAACGGCAAGCCAACGAAGAACAAGAAAAGGAGAAAGCTCAGTCGTGCCAGAAGAAAGTTCATGCTTGAAGAGAAAGAAACAGAAAGAACGGAAGGGAACAAAAATGGTCCTTTAAACAGAGTTATCACTGCTAATGGTCAGACATATCAGCTTGTGAACCAGCACAACGGCGCGGCTATGTTTATCTAGCATTATGTTCAGAATACTTATAGCATGCACTTTAACTTAACACGAGACGATTTTCGGCCTCTGGGCTACTTTAGAAACGCCAGTTAACGTATTTATACTTTTATTTCTACGTTAAAGGGTTTCTAATGGTCAATGTCGGGCATAGCCAGTGAATGAATAACCCTGACAGAGACGTATTCCTCGAGAACACGGGTATGTCCTTCCCTTGCTGTGGGGGCAAGGTGGAATTCCAGAGTATCACTCTTTCTGTCTCGTAGTTCAATACTGGAACATTTATATTGTAACAGCCGGAATTTTCGAAATGAAATATACCGTAAATTTCAGTGAAATAGTTTTTATAGAAATTTGCTGAAATTAATTCAGAATGCTGATCACTTTTGCAGTAGTAACTCTGTATAGTATGTCCGCAAACACAACTCACCCTGGAAAAAAATCTAGGGAAAATCACCCAAAGTAGTGAACTGGAGCACCAGATTTTTCTTTGATTAGTGGAGCATACAAGCAACACCATGTTGACTGGTTAGGTTTTGTAACAGTCGTTTACAAATTATTACTTGAAATCCTGGCTTCGGCTAAGAGTAGAAACCATAATAATAGTTTCGCATATTTAATCATTTTTATTCAATATGGCTCACTGTATGGGTTATTTACACCAATTTTGAACTTAGTAATATGGTGTTTTGTATTTATTTGTCTCATTTCCTAATGTTCAGTTTTCTAACTCCTAGCTTTGAAGGAAGTGGGGTTTTAGATCGACTTAGGGGCTTTCAGTTGACAATCAAGAAGCTGGAATCAAAGCTGGAGTCAGAAACTAGAACTCCAATCAGTCATGAATATCATAATTACAGTAATTGACAATCGTAAATTTCACTCGTTGAGCAATAAACGCAGGCGTTTTTAACAAACGAGTAAATAAACAATAGCTTTTAAATTTGCTAGTTACAACTGTTAATCGTCATCAATAGATCCCTCTTCTCTCTCAGCAACATCGCGTGAGAGTAGAGACTGTCTTCTCCTGGCATGTTATTTCAACGCCCAACTACTGTGCAAGGTCAACTCCCTTTTAGACACAACCAAGCATCATGGGAACAGTTTCTTAGTGTCTACCTTTGGGATTACTCAGCCTTTTTGAGAGTCGAAATAATCTGATCAAACTAATCTAAAACAGAATCTAAGTACAGTAAAATACAATTCAAGCTGCGGCGCTGGACCGTTTTACAAACTTCGGGTGTCAATTTCGACGACGTTACTGCTATTCAAGTTTCTTACACAGTTCCTTTTGTCTACAAAATTCACCTATCGCTTTTGAGGAAACAAACAACAATTCCCACTTAATTCAATTGTGGTGATCACTCAGAGTTGAGGACCAGAGCAAGTTAAGATCACAAAGAAGATAAACGGAATTCATCGCTCGTTCCCCGTAACAGGATTGGTCAGTTAAGCGTAAGTGACCGCGGTAACAGAAGTCATTTTTTTTCTTTCTTCGGAATAAACTTGATCGCAACAAGGCTCTGGTGAATACTTCGTTTGCACCATGGACCTAGATTGTATGGTACCGAGTACTTCATATCATTCGAATTCTATGAGGTAACAAAAAAAACTCTTCAGAAATAAAACAATTCAGACAACGAACAAACATTCTGACAAGGAACTAAGTGCTGTTTTATTGTGACTCTCAACTCGAAATGGAATATTTTTCAATGTCTTTTTTATCCCATATATCTACCTTAGAACCAAATTGGTTTAAGTGAGGGCTTTTTAGCTTGTCAATGGTTGCTTCTTAAAAGTCTATGTGATTATTTTTATCTATGGTTAGATCTGCCGAAAGTCCTATTGTTTTGACGATTCAATTATGCAAATTTGGGCTCGATAAAATTTTGTTGCTCGTTTGTTGTATAATTCAGGTAATTCTATTGTTTCAAATGTTGTTCGTCTGCGTGGAAAAACTCACAAGCTTTGTCAAATCCGTTCAAAATGTCCGCTACACTTGGTTTATACCAACTTTTTGTGGACGAACCCTAAATTAAAAACGCAAATTTAAAAACGATCATTGAGAATTTATTGATTCCAAAGGTTAAAATCCCAAACTTACAAATTAAACAATTTATTTAACAAAGCGAAATTTTTCAGGGGGCGGTCCGTCTCCATAAAAACAAGAAGTTGTATCCAAGGGTCAACTGTCAGGAATATGGAACTTTCTCGTCGAGTTTGTGTCAATTCCCTTGTTTAATCGTTAAGTTCTACTTATGGTTAACGCTCAACACTAATTCTATTAAACTGAGAAAGTAAATGTTTGCCTCGCCGGCAGGTAGCTCTCAAACAATCGAGGAAAGGCATCGGGATGCATCTTTGAAAAACACGTCAACTGAATGCTGGCGGTGGCTGCGGCGAAAACAAGTAAGGCAACGTTGTTACTGTATAACTCGATAGTTATTTGAAATGATCTGGGGAAAAAAAAGCTATCCATAGGAGCAGCTGAAAATGTTTTCAGTGTTATGGAGGATAGAATGGTTGTACTGCTGATTAGACTTTTTGGAAATTTTTTGATCGCAACTCTAGCATCTACCCACATTCATTCCTTAGTCCTGGACCACGTTTAGAAACTAGTGGCCATGCTCTAAAAAAAAAACTAGTTTTGCTCTAGATACGAAACGTTAGGAGTATCATTATTTGCGCTTCGGAAGTTGCTAAAGAAATTTAAAATTGATCAGGTTTTGATTGTTTTCCAAAAAGCATACTTGTTCTCGTACGAGCTCTGACAAGATTATGATGATTTCAAGACTTTTTACAGCATGAGTATTGAATACAGATTTGCATGTTTGACAAACTCTCTCAGAACTGTTGAAATGCTCAACGGATTCTCAGGGCACTAATTTGGGGCAGGTTTTCAATGGCTCCATTTTAATTAAGATTCTTTTTGCCTTAAGGGTGCATATCAGCCACAAAGCCGCAAATTGTGTTTTTCAAGAAGCTTTTAATTTATCCTCGGGAGCTGTGCTCAGCTTTTCGCTTGTTTGATTCCAAACATAATTTAGTGGAAGGATAACGAGTAAATTCTGTACGATTTGTGTGTTCATGAGCACATATTATAAATAATATATAATTGTGAAAGTACAGTGACTGTTATTTCTCCATCAATTTCACCGTAAATAAGTGGCCGTTGTTGTGATATGTTTGCTATGTTTATCGAACTGAGCTGACGCCTACCGCAATTAAAATTAATTCGTTAACAATTTTATGCAATAAGAGTTTTTCCTCGAAAAAAGCACGTAACGAATATTAGTTCTTGAAAAACTGTTCAGTAATTAAAATGAAGGGGAAGAGCCTTTTTTTAACTGTAAAAGCACAAGAAGAGTAATTTGGTAATTAACACGGTCGGGAAATTGTTAATAAATAGAATTTGTTAAAGAAATTCATTTCCTCAAGGTTGATTTTAGACTTAACACATAGGGATCCATTTCGCCAACTTGCTAGAATTGTATCTTATGTAAACTTGCTAATGCGTGACCACTCGGCTAATTCCAATTCTGCTAACGATATCAACTTTTAAATAATTAAATCGCACTGTAATAATTCTCAGGCTGTTGACGATATCAACTTTTAAATAATTAAATCGCGCTGTAATAATGATCTTGCTGCCCTACGCGTCATGTTGTTCAGATGCACGAACTGAGAGTTGAGAGCATAAATCATCTACAAGAGTGTTTAGCGAGGTAGGCCACTTTTTTCATCCGTTTCAGTTTTCGTACCTTCATGACAAATGTTTAGTTGATTAACGATATGTTGATTGGCAGCGATAAAAATCATGAAAAGATAACCTTTTTTTTCTAGAAAAGATAGAAACGAACATAGCAACAATATTCTGTTCTTCGCGTTTAAAAACAACTGCTGTGCTTCTGAAATCATATTTATTTTGTATACGGTTAAGAGGTCAGTATTACAAAAAATATATATATTGAGATTGCATCTATTCTCGTGTTTTAGATTGGAAGATGTATTGAACGCTCATGGGATTTTTTTCTTTTTTGCTTCCAAATTCTGCAGGTCTCTGAACATTTAAAAAATATAATACATGCACGCGCAGTACGCAATTGTGAAATATCACTTTAAAACATGTTAACAGGTGGCAGTATAAAAAGTGACATTTTCCTGAGTAGATTAACAGTTGAGAGAGCAGTTATAAATCATAAATTTGGCAGAAGTTTCAGTGAACAATGCTCCTTTATTTTCATCGCGACAAACACTGATGTTTTCTTTCGTGAGAGAAAACCATAGTCAACCAATTGCAACAATCAACAAAATTCTAATGAAAACGTTATGATCACTTTCTATCAGATGTGCATATGATAACAGCTACAAATTTGCAGATGCGTTGTTTAACCAAAAGGAACACGCAATTGCTCTGTTAGTTGTAACTTCTGTTAGAAAGAAAATTCCTTATGTATATATTATTGAATTCAGTGAACATAAAGTTTGAAATGCAAAGCCGTTTTAACTACATATTTGTTTTTAGAATGAACACGTCGAATGTTTCGATAAAATTCATGACTACCACTGATGTGAAATAACCTAACTCAGGGCTCACGAAAGTTGCCGTGACCAAAACTATCACTTCGAATTTTCATACGCTTTGCACGCTATTTGTTCACTAAGCAACCGTCTTTGTCATGATGATGAAAACATTGCGAGGATGATGTATGCTTTAGCGGTCCAAATGTTTTCCAAACTTAAGCAGCCATCTGAATTAACACTTTTTAAAAGTTTCCTACAAACAAGAAATTTCACTCCTCCGAGAGAGCCCGAGGGATTACAAAAATTGTCCTATTGGTGTGGAAACTCTTCCAAATTACTGGACTTACCCGCTAGATTTACTTTGCTCGTTGCTAATGAGACATAAGTTGTACTTAACAAAACATTGGCACGAGTTACTTCTTACGGGAGGGCCCGAGAGGGTTAAAATTATTGTCCTGGTGGGGTCGGTGGTGAAAAAGTAAAGGGGTTTTAACTGTTATGCATATTTTCATTTTTCTGTATTAAGGCCGAATAACTTGCGTCGATTACATGCGCAGCTTACCACTATTGTTGCGTAATAACCGTACATGAGCTACCCAACCGGTATAAATCCTCATTGCAAACAGTTCATCTTTAAAAATGAAAAAAAAAAAAAAATAGATTTGATGACGGTTTCTACAGTGACTAGCTGATATATTGACAAGTGAATGCCCTATTTTCTGTTTTCTTAGGATTTGAATGAGCTGATTTTCATGTAGATTAAAAAGCATTGTTGGGGAGGGCCTTGACAGTTTCCATTCAGTGTTTTACATATGAACTAAGCCTTGTCGTCATTTCAAAATTTTTCCAGCGTACAATCAACAAAAGAAACCTTCGGCAACAGTCCAATTCCAATTAAAAACCTTTACACGAGATGAAATTAGTGGCCTAAAGATTTATTTATTTTCCCTGACTACTTCAGGGGGGTTCTTCACGTGGTATTTTCCCTTAAAAATCATGGATATCTTCCAGTTGAAGTCCAGCCAATTGTAAAATTGTGACGGTCAACAGGAACTTGGTGGCTTATTCCTGCAGAGCTGCCGAATAGTATGTCCTTGTGTATGACTGGGCTTAAAATTTTTTCTTACATAATTTTGACAAAAAAATTAACATTGGGAGAACTGCCTTTCTTTAAAGATGTATTTAAATATTTTCATTGTCAAAATTTGATTGTCAAGTGACAGGTTATCATTTAGTTATGACGGGCGGATTGCACTGTTTTGCAAACATAATTAGTGCGGCGTTTTGGTTCGAAATTGCTTTACAACGAGTAGGTGTGTTTTTTGTATTAACAAGGACTGAGCTCAGTAGATAGATAATCAAAACAATCTCTTTTGTGCGACGAAATTGTCAGACATTGTCTTAAATTGCTAGTACAAGACCACTGCGGGAGTCTGTAGCCATTTCAGCCCTAAACGAGGAATTGTAAATATACAAAAAAAACATTTTTAAATATTTTCTCCCCCGTACAGGAAACTCTGTTAGACAAATTCTCACTTTCATCAAGTGATTTTTATTCGGAAAGAGTAATATGAACTTGAAATACTTCTATTCCAGCTCGTAAATAAACGTTCACTAGAATCCCTGGCTATGATCCAAAACTATACCCTAATTGACGTTTAGTAACAATTAAGTTTATTCATTTGTCAGTGGTTAGGATGTGAGTGTTTGGAACCCGGCCCATTAATTACAATTTATTTTCAATGGAGAGGACGGCGTACCTCAACCAAGCAGGTACATGCAACAAACTATTATATTTCATATTTCAGGAACCACGGTACAAATTTAAAATTATTACTCAATTGGAAGAGTTTGCATGATGAAAAAATTTAAAGAAATCAAGTGAAATTCGTCTTCAATTCGGTAAGTTTGCTGTCTTTCGTGTAGATATAGTTACTTAAAATCTATGACGGCTACGATGATGAAGCTAAAACGCGATGCTCTGAAATTTAAATACGATCGATATGCCTTGCCGGCGTTCGATTTCTTTCACTTCTTTTCAGCCAATGCGAGCGAATCTATAATTTTTCTTAGAATATGTGTGTCTTAGGGAGCATCTCAACGTCTAACGATGAAAAAATTATCTATTATCACCAATTATAGTCGCTGATGCCGTGCAATGTCACCTTAACTGATTCGCGTTATTCCAATTTTGGGACGTTCACAGTCTTTTGTTATTAAGCCAAATCGACCTTAACGCGTCACTACCAAGATGAAATTTGTCAAACAACTCAGATATTTTGAGATAAACCTAGGTATAAAGAATATTTTGATTAAAAATAAACAATATTGTTGAAAATTCTCTTTTTTTCTTTTTAAACTTGCTCTTTTAAAGAAGCTTGAGACGCTGGTAATTCAACAAAACAAAATGTGCCGTTGCTCCTTTTGTCTATAGAGCTTTCTTTCTGTACCGAGTATGTCCAGTAGGTGAATACTGAAGACACTTGGATGTTAATACTAGTACACGTATACAAATAGTCCCATTTTATGTCAGTGCAAGAAATGTCGCCTGTTTACCGAGAGAACATATCTGTTTACTTAATGCAGGGAGCCTTAATCGACTTTTACTTAAATTACTCTTTCACCAGTTCTCTTTTATCTTTATTTTCGAAATTTTGACGTTATGGTGTACGTTTCCATCTGTTTTGTCCTTATCAAATATTTAATAATTATGAAATTGTTGTGAACTTTTCAATTATGGCAAACAAGTGTGGGAAGGAAAATTTGTTACACGCTGGGTGATCACATTTATTTACTTTTAATGTTAAGGGATTCGAGGCTTGTCAATGATCAGTAAGTTCAAACAAGCAGTAATATAATCGAACGAAATTTTGCAAGTATCATATCTCTTAATCACTTTGCAAGTTGCTAATGAGACATAAGCTGTACTTTACAAAACATTGGCGAATAAGTCACTTCTTACAATGCCAAAACATAACATTACAGGTTCTGCGTATTAGTCTCGAAAAAAAAAAAGAGAGAAAACAATTAATCGTTGCTAGTAATCCGTTGGAGCACGAAAGTTTGCGTGGCAAGTAAAACAGTACATACACCTGTTAGATTTGCGACTAATTTGTTGCTTCTCTAAATCAAAATTGAGGTAAAGTGCAAGTTTCCACTATTTAAGACAGGAAAGTACTTTATTACGAGGTGATAGTTTTTTTTTTCTTATCGCTATCAAAATTAGTTCTTAAGTTAAGTTGTTCATTCTTTCAAGAAGCATTGCTGAACCGGCGGCTGCAAAAAAGTTTCAGTTTTTTAATTTTAACTTGGAAATGGCTTCTGTTCAATTTCTCTTTTATATGTAACTGAAAACGGTTTCTTTCTCAGCTCTTTACATCGGTGTTACTGACAATTTAGGTTTTAAATGATTCTGTAGTTTCAACACCTGATCGACTATCAAAATCTTAACTCTTCTTGCTTGGAAAAGGAGAATTCGTACTGTCATCATTCTTCCACAAAATATCATATTATATAACTATAAGTCACCATTATTTGTTAACAACACTGATTTCGTGCACATTGTTACTCTGTTTTCATGCTGTTGAAGTGCAATGCTTTTTATCTAGAATTGACTTTCTTCCGCCACTTTGCAGAAAAAGCAGTTGTTAACTAATTCAATTTTACATAGAAAAGCTAAAATATTTCATGCTGTTCTAAAAGCTGGTTTTCAAAACCTTCTTTAAGTCTGAAATTTAGGACAATACCATCAGTAATTATGTAGACTAACACACGAAATGTAATAATGATAGTACAAAATTAGACTTCGTAACCGCAATGTCACGTATTTATTGACTCAACAGCCAGTTTTATTACACTGGCGGATATTACAAGATACTAAACTAATTCCCGATTGGAGTGTAGTGTTTACCGCAGAAAAATAGGGAGGTTTTATTTCTTTCCATCTTCCTTTCTCTGCGGGAAACGACTAAGATTCGTGTTTTTTTTTATCTGCGAATAGACACACAAAAAAATAGGAAGTTGCTGATAATTACTTACAATGAATATCATGCAGAGATACAGAACCCTCGTTGAAGTCGCGTGGTATGATCTGGCTGATGACATGCAATTTAGTTCCTAACTTACAAAAACAGCTGTAATGCCAATCAATATTACATCCTGCTTCGCACAAAACAAAACAGACCGTCCGCTAAGCAACATCTTGCCGACTTATGACCAAGGGAAGGCCTCACTTGAATCGTAGGAGGGTAAGTCTTTGGAGAGCCTAGCTCAATGGCTGAGGACATGAAACCTAGTTAAGTTTGAATCCAGGTATTCAGCACGTTTGAACTGTTCGGCGATGAACCAAGTCACCGGCAGGAGCAAACTGCTGATACAATGGCGGACAAAACAGGAAACTCAAAGCAAAGTGCATCTCTGTGATATTCTTACATCAAGAAACGCTGACAGTGAAAACGATACACATTATACTCACTTTTTTTCAGTCGATAAAGGCAAATTTATCCGTGTGATGGTCTTCGTAATCTTTTTGGTGAATTGAGGGACACAATTCTGCCCATATTATTTCATCAAAATTCAATTACTTTATATGGCTAGGAGTGCTAATTCATGATGTTTACCTAAAACGTAGTTTCACCGGTGGGGTCATTTGGTAATGTAAAATAAAACATGCTAAACAGATGACCATGCAGTAAACAAAGTTCTTCATGTCTTAAGTGACAAGTAACTATCGGTTTCAGCAACAAATCCAAATTCTTGAGGAACATTTGTACGTACGTAAAACTGTCGATTGGAAAAAAAAGTTTTCCTTTCTTTCTTCTTGTTAAACGTGCGTTTGATTAGCAAGGCGTTAGTAGTCGATTCTTCGGGAAAATTATGAGGCAGAAATTCTGATTTGGTTAAACGCTTTTCGTAGTGTCGCATCGGTTTTTTTTTAGAATTCTTCCCCATAATGCATGGGTTGTTGTTGTTGTTGTTTTTAGATAAATGTCTAGATGTTGTTCGTAGATAAATTACCTACGCTTCTCTGAAAACCAGGTTTTCCTGAAATTAACGAACGATTCGGATAGGCTGACTGCCTCTTTCTCTCGGCTATTTTCAAATTAAACGTATCTTTGTATGTAACTACATAGATAAGTGCATTCGTCGGAGAAAATCAAAGTCGTAGAGGAAAAAAACTACACTGTGTACTGAATGTATGAATGTTTACCGTTTTACTCCCTAGATATCGTTAGTAATTCTTCTCACTGTCAGCCACACGATTCTCGCGATGTTAGGTCAGAGAATTTAGTATTTGATCAACTGTTAATACCGGCCCTGATTGATATTTTTCCTTATTCTCGTCACTTTTCTGCTCGATATTGTATTGATATTGTAAAGAGAAATTCTGTCTCGGTCACTGATGGGAGTTAAATAGTTAATGCCTCCCTATAAACAAATCATGTCTGCATGGAAATCAATCGTGGTACTGAGAAACTTGCCTAGAATCAGCACTTAGCAAAAGTTCTACACCTATTAAGAAAACAAAAAAATTAAAGTCGGAAAAAAATGGCTTTGCGGGGAGTGACTGTTTTCCAATGTGTCAATGTCGGCTGTGGCTTTTTGCGCATGAGCAGAGTGCCATTTGAAACAAATGCGCATGTGGTAGAGGATCTGCAGGCGTTTAAGATTCTACTTGCAGATTAGGCATGCGCATTGTTTTCTTGATTGATGAGTTGTACTAAACGTTCAAATACATAGGCACAAGAGTAAACAATCTGATATCGGTAATAATTAGAAAAAAAGTGATCTTCGAATAGTGGTTGCGAACATTGAGAGGACGTTAGCACCAAGACTAGAACGGGTAATGGAAATTTTACAAAGATCTTCCAACTTCTTCCGACTAAGCTGCAAGATGATTGAAAATTTCAGATAACAAAACCGACACTGATGACAGGCCACGATAACGTGTGTTTGATAGATTAGACCATAAGAAAGAAAATCCTTAGTTTCTGTTTACTTTTGAGAATTTTTTATTTGAATTATCAAACAGTATTTTAAAGCGAGAAATTATTTGCGAGTTTTTTGAGCGGTCATTTGAATATTCGGTGTTTTGATGAGATATTTTCTTTATTTGATTACGGGCTTTGCTGCTGGTTTCGAGTCAATATTCCTGCCGCAATTCTGAATTTCGTAAATTATTTTCTAGTGAGCTATGATCAGTTTTTTTGAAAGCTGTTTGTAGACGACACTTATAAATTATTTAAATCATATCTCAAAAAAAACAAGCCTCTGATCTCCATACTTATATACCCTGAGGTCATGCAGGTTACTGGTGAGATTGAACGTTTTCCCATATTTATATCAGCTGAAAAAAAAATGTTATAGTGCTCACTGTAAATTGACAAATCATTCCTTGTTGGTGCAAAATTATTGATGATAACATATTTGCGAAATTTATGGTAATATTTACTAGTAAGGGCAAAGATTTAAGAAAGTGTGCATCGATTTAGACTAAACATTTAGTTCTCGCAGTAGCTAAACTGTTCGCAGCTGTTCAGCAACCTTGAGCCTCTTCGATTTTAGAAGATCATATTCCGAAATAATTGTTGCTAGTCTTTTGGTATTTGTGGTTACCCATGCCACTATAAACCGAGACATTCTCGATTTTTTAAACGCCATTTCTTAAACGAATAAAACGCATATCTAAAAATGCCCTCAGCTCAAAACAGCTAAAAGTTGACTGGTTAACTGAAAGTCACATTTGCCTTATTCTTGTTTTAAGCGGGTAAAAAAAAAAAAAAAAATTTGTGTTTATTGATAAACTGAACTTGGAGAGAGCTAAAGACTCAAAAAAATGCCTTTGTAACCTTTCGTTTACTTTCCGGTTTTGAATTTTATCTGGTTGGTCAAACATAGGGCGCTAAGCAGCTGTGTTCTTAAAGTCCACGGTGAAAGCTGTATTATTTCGCAAACAATGCACCAGCGATTCTTTTTGACATGTTCTTCGTAGCATTAATTACATTTACCAGAGCTAAATTTTAAACAATTTTCGTGTCTTCTATTGTATTCGAGGAGTTATTACCCAAAAAGTCAACCCGAAGAAATGTTTAATTATTTCCACCCAATCAAAATCCACCAAGGAGGATGGCTTGCAAAAAAAAAAAACAAAAAAACGAAGAGGTGAGAAGATCCGTGATCGCGTGTTTGACAGTGTTAATTTAAATATATCAAACACGAATTATGCCCAGACTAGCTTTGGGTCTTGAACTGTGAGCACAGCTTCGACTCGCTTCAGGGTTTATCTACATATTGCAATTTCAAAAGATCATCCCTAAAAAAACAGGTAACTTTCTACATTGTTTGGTCGATAGGAAAAAAAAACTAGTACATCTTGAATAAGTATATGAAAAATTACTTATTGGCATGGACTGTTGCTCTTAGCTTTAGAAACTCCATTTCAAGAAAATGCTTTTCAATGAATATGCTGAGGGGAGTCGTACTACAATAATTTCGATTCTTCATCAATCGGCAGGGATAGACCTTTCTTTCTGAATAGTTTTCAATGTCGTTTATTAATTTTTTTCTGATCTCGATTTAACTCTTCCCTATAATGAAAACCCAATTTGAAGCTTTAGCTAAAACTGAAAGCATTTTATTGGGAATTGCATTGCAATTACGTGTCGGGTTTCTTTGAAGATGGTAGCTTATTATATCCAAAACAATGTTTTGACTACAGAATCATAATTGCACGCGCGGGAAATTATTGATTCGGAAACTGAGAATCATTTGGCATCTTGAAATTTAGAAACGCCAATAGAACGTGAAAGGGCAAATCAGCTTTCTGTGTTTTTTGAAACGTAATAAAGCTTAAACATGAAGCAATTAGAAGTTTTGTTTCGTAAACACAATAACTGCTCTTTCAGCAATATGCTTTGTTTGGCTGATGTTGACATTTCACTCCAAGTTTGCGACCATAGTTTGATCGATTTCTGTCGATCTTAATTGCGTTCTTCTAAACTGCACTCATTTGAAAAGAAATGCGTTTTCTTCATCTCTTTTTTAAAAAGGAGCTGCGTCTTAAGATTCCACGGCAGAAGTTGAAAAGAGACAAAGACATTTCCTTATTCTTGTATCGTAACCAGAAACGTTATCATCCAAACATTTCTACGAAAGCGATAATTACTATTCAGAAATTTTAATGAAACATATGCCCCTAACGCCATACGTATATTGTAGCTGAGTGAAATGTAATGGCAGAATGAAGATTTTGGCAAAACAAACAAATTGTATCACAGTGAAGTCAGACACAACAGAGTTTCAATGATTGAAGTGAAAAAAAGTAATAAAATAATCATGAAGAAACTATTGCAGACATCAAAATTTGGCTCTACAGCGCTTAAAATGTCTTGCACTAACAACAGACTAATTTGAATTTGATTAGGAAAGGTCTATATCAGAAAATTAATCATTTGGAGAAGTCGCGCAGCTGAGTAGCGTCAGAACCTTGTTTTTAGCGCCTTGCACAATTCTATAGTTCACCTCTATGCGCCTGTTATAAAATCAAACTTTCGTAAAATCTTTTAAAATAAGAAGTTTGTCGTCTCATATGTATCAGGTGTTACGTGTCATCCAAGTTATGTCTGTTTCTTTTTCTGAACTGTTGTGAAGATCCCATGCAGACGAGCACCAGAACTGTGACTATTCATTTCGTTTTCCTGCTGACTTCTTGTAAAGAAAATACGACTTCTCTCTAACAAAATCATGATGTGCACTGCATTTCGCAAATTCAGAAGCACGGCTGATCACAAACGATAATCAGAACAGAGCGAGTTATGACAAGAAGCTGATGAACGCTTAAAGTAAAGATAACCAAACATGCTCGGTGGCGGAAAAAAGCGTATTTTCAAATGACTCATTCGATGGTTTAGTTTAAATCGCTACTGATTGGCTGAAAAATTTTATGAATGTCTATTCCGCAGAAAGATGGGTAGTTTTGCAATTCAAAGGATAGAAAATACTGTAGAGGTACTTCCAATGAGACTACGCGGTGATGATGCTCTGTCTACAACAAAAGACGAAACAAAACGGAAGGAATCCAACAGTATAAGCCATTCAAACAACATCCGCAAAGCATCCTGGGCGAAGCGGAACCCGCAACATTCGAGCATTCTTAGCAGCGGATTATCTGACGAAATTGTCTGTCAAACTTGCACGGACACGACACGTAACACATCTATGTTAAATCATAGTGGTAGAATGAGTCTTCCAATGAATGGAAAATACGCTAATAATCATATTCACTGGAAGCGTAATGGAGTACCAGACAAAGCCACGAGTCAGCAACGTTTTCCAGGGAAGGCAAATGGCTCGTCGTCGCAACTTAGCAAGCAACACAACTCCCACTCAGGGAATGTAACCTGCTGTGGATCAACCCGTAGCCGAACTTTTCAAGAGAAAGGCCCTGATAAACCTTGGAAAAGCAAAGGGGATTATTTTGTAGCGATGCTAACATATCTTCTGGGAGTAGGAAATGTTATCAGATTTCCTCAGCTGTGCTTCAAACATGGAGGAGGTAAGGATGTTGTAATTTTTTTTTCATTCAGTTACATTATTGCGAAATGTCTGATCAAAAACGATTCAGGTATTCTTTTGCGAACACAGAGAGACACTTTGATCTCAAAAGTAACCGTCGCAGCGGATATAACGTTACCTTCCTTTATTTGATAAATCGCAAAGTAGAGAGTGATAAGATTTCAAAACCAACATCAAATTTATATTTTTGGATCTTGAATTTGAAAGGCGAGGATTCAGTGCAATCATAAGATTTTTATGATAAAACAGTGCCTATCTACCGTATCAGTCTTCAGTATCATTGAAATAACACAAATAAATCAAGCTCTCGCGGATTATCATGGGAGGCGAGGTGGCCAAATGGTTGTGGTCATGCTGGATTCTGGATTCTGGTCTGGGTTCGTGTTCTGGTCCAATCAGAGTCTTTTACTCTTGAACAAGAAAGTTTACCTTCACCATGCTTCCCTTCACTTGACTAGGAGTAAAAAGAGGCTGTTGGGGACTGTCTATAAAATTATTACGCCTAAAATTTTATCGTTTGTCCTATTCGGAGTGAATAACAATGCTCCTAGTCACCTTCTGGCAACGAAAATTTAGGTAATCTCCGGCAGATGGGCAACCCAACTTAAAATCTGACTACACGTGCTGATCACTTTATTGTGATTATTTTCATAAAATCATTGTTGCTGCTGATGTTATTACCTTTACTTTCACAATAACTAAAGCATTTTTTATTTACTTAGTGATCTAATTTGTTCACTTTTGTAGGTGCATTCTTCATCCCGTACTTCATCATGTTAATCTTAGAAGGAATTCCCCTCATTTGCCTTGAGATGGCTGTTGGACAGAGACTGGGGAGGAACTCTGTCATGAAATCCTGGAAGGATCTCAGTCCAAGTCTCAGAGGAATTGGTATGGCCGCGACCATCGAAAGCCTGGTGACGTGCTTTTATTACAATTACATTGTGGCCTGGTGCCTTTATTATTTTATTCATTCCATGAGAAGTTCACTATTATGGACTACCTGTCCCACTATAAATGACACCGTAAATAGAACTTTGGTCCCAGAGTGTTCACGAACTAATCCAGCCGAGTATTATTGGTACAGAGAAACATTAGACGTTGCTGAAGATATCAACAAAAGCACAGGTAAGAAATGACGTCATTTGAATTGAGATGTTTGAGATGGTGATACTGCTGAAAGTATCTGAGGTGGATGCATTTGAAATATTTCATATGCCAATGGGTATTAATGTTCGGCTCTTATTTTGAAGACGAATCTAAGTTTGTGTTTTTGATTTTGGGGGGATAGTGGAATAACTGCTATTGCAGGAATTGCTGATAAAAATTAAATTTGATTATTGATTTCGAAACCAAGAGAAAATGAGGGGAGAGAGAGGGAGGCGTTAGATATATCAGGCCTTGGATTATTTCAACTCCAGTAGGTTATTTTTAGAGAGTTTCTTGAGACAAATGTCTTCTGCAACGTCCGCTTCGAGGCTAACTTTGATCTCATATTCTGATTAAAATCAAAGTAACAACAGACAGCCTAGGTATTACTTTCGTCTATCAAAACGACCTCTAAAAATACTTCTTTCCCGCCTAAAACCAACGTCCTGATGAACCATTTGTGTCCCCTTCATGATGTTAACAAAGTTGCCCTTGAATTATGTAACAGATGACCCAAACATCTTATGGAATTTGGTTTGATGTGATTCAATAAATCGATAGAGCTCTTTTCAACTGAAAGACAAAAGTAATCCGACATTTTATTGGCTTTTCTTTAATTTGCGCTATGATTGGTCCAAAAAACTTACGCCATACTCTTAACCTATCAGAAGCAAACTTAAACCACGACTCGGTTACCCACGTTCCCCCGAGCTTAAGACAGTTCGCTTGATTCACTTTGAGTTCACATTGGTTCTTAAGGGTATTTTCCTTTCTCTTGATCGGCCGATCGTCTTATTACCATGATATCAACAGGAATCAACATGTATCTGTTCTTGTTTGTTGTGATCTCCTGGACGGTGTCGTTCTTACTAACCATGCGTGGCTTGCGAGCAGCGTCAAAGGTGAGTAAGGCAATAAAATTATTTTGATGTATTCGTAATGTTTTCCTGGTCTTGGGGAATGAATGGCAAAGTACTTCGTACTGAGCCCGTTTCGTTCACCTTTTGATTGTGGATTGGGTCGAGGGTGGTCCTGAAAAGGACTGTTGTCGATAACAGAGACCTTCATTTAAACAACCTGAGCGGACTTTATTATCAGAGTCAAGTGAGGAGTTGTTTGACAGTTTGCCAACAATAAGTTGTTCTGGGGAAACAGATTGCTCATCCACTGTTTTACATGCAGAGCAGTTTTTAATGAGTGTCTAAAGTAATCCGAGATTGGTTTGGCTTTTAATTTTGCTCTGTGATTGGTCCAGAAAACTCGCGCCATCCCCTCAACCAATCAGATGCAAAACTAAAAGCAATCGCGACTTTGTCACTCGCGTTTTCCCGCGCTTCAAGCAGTTAACTTGTTTTTAACCGGATGTTTTTCATTGGTTAATGATAATGTATACCTTTTCTCTGGTTGGTCACTGTGATCATTACTTTGTTTTGGACTCTTCGAATTCAGTGTTATCAGCTTTAAAGTAGTGTGCGGGAAGAAATTATAATATTTTGCGTAAACCAATGGTAATTCATCATTTTTGTCTTTTTATTAATTTAATTAAACGACTTACTTTTTCAGGTTTTGCTTGTGGCTCTCATTTTAATCGTTATCAGTCTCGTTACATTTTTCTTTGTCAGCGTACATCATGACGGCTGGGCTCAAGGACTTGCAAGGCTTTTCATCCCGGAGGTAGGTAACTTCTAATTTTAGAATAACGTTTGTTTTGATTTGAAGAACTTGTCCTGTCAAGACTCTTTTGGATACTGATTTTAGGAGGATCAATCCTTGATCTTCCATGTGAAATTTAATCTTTCTTTCACAAAAAAATTGGAATCAAAGAAAACAAAACAAAACCATAGGTGATTGCGATGAAGTCAAACAGAAAAAAAGCTAAGTAGTGTAAATATGATGCATCCTCCCAAATTCAGTTAAGCTGGTTTGGTTGATTGTTGATTGTAAAACGTCGTTATTTAAATCTTAACAACAGTAATACGTAGATGATTTTTTGCTATATTCTCAGTGGGAAAGACTCAAAGACCCAGTAGTGTGGATGGACGCCGCCGGGCAAATTTTCTTCTCTCTGGGGGTTGGACTCGGCAGCGTTACCTTGTTTTCTACAGGGAACCAACCAAAAAACAGCTTCATAATGGACGCTATCATGTGTGCGTTGGGAAACTGTGCAACCTCTTTATGGGCAAGCATTATTATGTTCTCGTTCTTTGGCTTCAAGGCTCGCAAAAAATTTCTCAAATGTGAGGATAGACTCGCCGCACTCCGAGATAACGACTCCTTGTTCAACACCACCAAAACAATGACATGTAGCTACCAAGAGATATTTAATCAAGTAAGTATGAATACTTCTCTGTTTTAAGGGAAAACAAATGATCATAACGTACATTAGACTAACGGCCATTTGCGGTCATTTAGCTCCGGTTTGAAAGTGAGGCTTAGTGTTTTGTGACAGGGCCCCACTGATCAGGGAAAAAATAATAATACACAAGTACGTTTGCCAAAGGGAAAGTGAAGAAAGTGATCAAACAATCAGGTTTAGGCTCTTCCTGAATCAAAGTTGCACTCTGTCATGCGCTTTTAATAAATCATGTCTTGATCTGATTCCCGAACATTGCAATGAAGTATTCGGTCCAATTATAAACATTTACACAATGCTGAAGGGCTTCATTGTTCCATATCACTATCTTCAATTATACAACAGCGATTCTGTTTGCGTTTGTTTCGTGCAAAACCTTTTGAATAATGTTTTATTGATCATTTCAGCTTCCTCCAGGGATGTCCCTCGGGTTTGCGGGACTTAGCGAGGTGTTTACTCAGATGTCCCTTTCTCCACCACTTTGGTCTTCTCTCTTCTACTTTCTTTTGTTCTTACTAAGCTCCTCCAGTATGGTGGGCATGATTGAGATCGTAATTACAACTTGCAAGGAGATCACATTTTTCCCTCGAACGTGGAGAAATGAAGTCATTTGTGGTGAGTCTGTGTCGTGTCATTTGCTGGATTTGAGTCGTGTTATTTGCTAGATTTATTATGGCTTATTAAGCTTTCGCCCCACCGTAGGTTCGTTCCCTACCACCTTTGTGTTTTCGCATCTTGGGGTGAAGGGATTTTGCGCCCACCTTTACCAGTTCGCCGAGTGGTTTGTGAATAAGACTCCATTTGAAGGAGAGGGTAGAGGATAACGGAAATCTCTCCAAGGGAGAGTTCTCTTAGACGCTTCATGTCAGTGAAACCAGCAGAATGGGGTTAAACTTGCGACGGATTAGCATACCATCTGGGGGAAAGTGGCGCGAACATGTTATCGCTACACTCTACTGATATCGGGATAAGCTGAATCAGGAAAGGTTACCTGGCTCGTAAACTAATTTCGCCTTTATCTTTTGTAGGAATATTCTGTCTCACTATGTGTATCAGTAACCTATTATTCGTGCAATCAACTGGTTTTTACTTGCTGGAAGTTATCAGCAACGCTAGTTCCATTCCTCTTCTCCTCATCGGTCTTGCAGAGTGTATAGGTGTAGCTTTTGTCTATGGAATGGAAAGGTCAGTGTTTTTAAGTTATAGCCGGCTCTATTTGAATAAGTGTATGACATTTAGGACTTAAGTAATCATAACGGCCAATCGGAACACAGATAAATATCACAAGGAGTGAAGTATTCGCGAATGACCGAGTTGCGATTGGTTTTTGTTTTTACTTAATTATTTGAGACTTACGAGAGCAGCACGAGTTCTTTCAAGGGTATAGTAGTTTGCAATAAAAAGAGACGAACGTAAGGCAAACCCATATATGCCCGTGCGCTTCCCTCGAAGTGGACCGGGGGCGAGTCAATATGTTCAATCCTAACCAATCACCTGGAATAAGCAAAATCACAGCTGAATGACGCTACACGAGTTTGACAGCCAATATACCTCGGCAAACTGACCAATCAATTTTCATATCACTTGACATGAGAGATAAATCCTTTCTTGACTATGATGCGCTCAGGCTGTCGTCAGTCAAAAACAGTTAGCAACAACAGTTAGCAACAACAGTCCTTCTCGGGTACTACTTTCGTGCACCCGGACGCGGCCGAACCACACGAACAGCTGTTACACCAGATCTTGGGCTGTAGAAGCTAGTTAGCCCTAAAATATCCGAGCTCTTCATCAAGTCTTGGGCTGTAAAATGCCTTACTTTATCCTGCAGGTTTTCAAAAGATCTTAGTTCAAGAACTGGAAAACAAGTGAAGAGTAGATGGAAGCTTTGTTGGAAGTTTATTTCTCCCCTAATAATTTTCAGCGTCATAGTTGGAGGAATTGTCCAAATGATAAGAATTGGAGAGTTCACATATACTGCGTGGGACCGAACTGAGGTAATTTCAAGAATGTTATGTTTTATACTGTTTCATTGCGGTCGGTGGGGTGATTCGCTGTCGTGTGATATGGAAATCAATGCCACTAGTACAGATCTTCATCAAACTTTGACAGACTAAATAATCGCTCATCGAATAGCTTTTGATGCCTGTTGTAGTGTCTTGGTGGTTAGCCTGTGAGCATGTCCTCATAATTAACGCTACAAGACGCGCCTTTTACCACCTCCGGAAAGATTTGAGACGAGCTAGGGAGAGGTCTGCCGGGGGTGCTGACTCTAATAATGAGGCCTTTTATCAGTACTAGACTCCTTGCAGACCTCTCGGTGGCTTGTGCTGCTCAAGGTTTTAAACTGTCCCGCGGATGAAGAAATGCTTATATAGCGGGCTAGTATCTCCGTAATTCCGACCCATGCACGTGCGCGTTTTGTTTTTATGTCACGTTGTGTCATGTTCAGCTTAAACTTATTATTGGTTTTTACAGTATTCCGATTTTTAAACGTATTTTCACATGCAGCATATGCATCATTTTATGAATTTCTCTTCCAGGCAAAAGTCAAGGCACTACCTTATCCTCCATGGGCGTATATAATCTATCTGTTTTTCGTCTTGATTCCATCGGTGTGCCTAATTTATCCTCCCATAATGGACCGTTTAACACGCGGTAGACGAGGGCCGGATATAATGCAGTCTCCGAGTGACAATAGTTCAGTTGCAAGCACTAACTGTACCCCGCCCTGTTGTATTGGAAGATCAAGGTCGTACAGTATCGATATCCCTCCTGTTAGTAATATCTGTGTTAACGGACATGTGAACCGAACAGTTGACGAGAATGATTGATGTTGCGAAGATATTACAAGTAAATACCGCAGATATTACAAGTAAATACCGCAGTTTATGGCTCAACACATTTGGAATCAAAGAGGGAGAACAAGCGGATGAGTTCAAAGAGAAGTTAAATCTCATACTTAGCGAAGAAGAGCACGCGATACTCTGGTCAGCGATAAATATGCGCATGCTTGTTTCGATCGCTCCAGCTGACCAGATACATGCTCTACTGGACCAGTAAAAAACTCAGCTTTCAAAACTCGCAACATTTTGTTTCAGAAGTGCTGATTTTAAAATAAAATGGTTAGAAACTAAGCTTTTTTGTGGTTGTAACGGAGATGAGCCGGAAGCACTGTTTCTGGGGGGTACGGGGGACGAGGTCGGCTTTTGTTCAGTGTCTTGCCAAGGCACTTCAGGGAGGTTTAACTCTATGAGATGCACCCTGGCTGATGCGTCAAGTTGCAACTAGCTTGCGAACAGGCCCTAATTATCATCACTTCGGGACAAGGGTTTGTTCACCCGGGGGAAGGTATGATGTCTTGAGCAATGCAAGCCAGCGAGAGGTCTGCAAAGGCTGTAGCATTTAGTGTTAGACCCCTGACAAACCTCTCCCCGATTCGTCTCAATGTTCCTGCGGGCGGAGAGACGCGCGTCCTGCATGAACATTTTTGAGACGTGGACGGTAACCAAAAGTTAAAAGTTCTCATTCCTGATGTTCACTACACCTTTTTTCGGTCAGCAGAGCTTAGCTTAAAATGCTAAAACGACGACCTCACCATCGATGTATTGGCGTCAATGTACGTTAGAATTAGTTGTTCTCTATCAAAGAGAGCCTGCCGCAAGCTAAGCTGCAACTGACTATAAGAGCAGCTCGGAGGTTCCGAGGGAGCCTTGCAGAACAAGAGCTAGAGATAATGATACATACCCCCTAGGTTAGAAAGCGTTTCATATATTGTAATGTCCAGGTTGAATTTCCTACTGACTACAGTACTCGTGCGACACTTCAACAATAATTTTATCTTATTAGGCATTTTTGTGTGTAGTATCGCTGAGAATTTTTACGAGTTGCGCAGTATTTTGACGAGCCAGTAGAGTAACAGATTTTTTTCCGCCAAGTGTTTCTGTTCATTTCTCGTAAGGTGGGAAAACCATAGCGGATGGAGAAGCGTTGCGCGCGCAGCCGACCGGTAAAACAGGCTTTTTTCTCACAGTACAAAATAACCAATCCTACAATATCGCAGGATATTTGAACACTATTCGCCCCTTATTTTTACTCTACTTTGTGCAACTGGATAATAACTTACTGTTATCGTGTGTCTATCGGAGGTTCCTCCGGACCCTAATCAACAAAAAGGCCAGAAGCTTGATTGCCTCTATTGATAAAATAAAAATCCTTGTGTGTACCCTTCGCTTTTGAAGGGAAAGACAGTAATGTCAGAAGAAGGAGAAACCGCATAAAATTCTCAAAAATCGCTCGGGGACACACAAATGGTTACGTTCGGAGTCAGCCGAGTGGGTTAAGCTTTAATGAAATTCGGCATCTTAACCAGTAAATTCGCGCGAGCCAATCATTGTTTATGCGTTATTTTCTGTTTTCTTCTTTTCGATTTTTTAAAAACAATTTTTTTGCGTTGTTACGGGATGACATACTGTTCTGCGACGTTCTTATTTTTCTGATCTCTCTGTGATCTGTGCTCCGCTGCTCCCTGTTTAAGCATGTCCAATGTCGCAACCTTGTCATTACGTAATATAACTAAGTAACGTCACGCAATGAAATCTATTCAGTCTTCTGAGCTCACAAACGACGAATACACTTACATGTTCAACAGGTTTTACCATCATAATTATAATGCAACACAGTATATTTGTATGAAGGAGAGATCACGTTTTTCAGAATTAATCGCAACTTTGAACTGTCTGCTCTAACACAGTCTCATCACCACATGATTCGATCGAGCAATACGCACGTGATCAGTTATTTTCCATCTATACAGTCGACAAGTAATTTTCCTATGCCATCAAACATCGTTGTGACCGTGGTTACTGTTTAACTACCTTCCTTAGATTTTTTAAGTATAATTTTCAACATAGAGCTCTTCCTAGCTGTTTGAATCATGTTAATTTGTTTCTTTACGCATCTGAAGTAGTTTAAAAGCGAAAATTCTGAGTAAAATTGGTTCAAATCGATATAAATTCATTACAAACATGTTAATGTTTTACGAAACAACCCCCATTCATTGCCCGAATAGCCAATCACCATCGAACATTCCAAATATGGCGGGTGTAGGGATAAAAACTTATTTCAGCCCTTTTCTCGTCCTCTTTTAACTCCGTACGATAGAAAGTGATTTAGTGGTCTCTTGGTGGTAGTTGTATCCTCAACCAATTCAAGGTCATCATGCAGAACGGTGGAAAGCTCCAGTACAAAGTCGGTGAGTTTGAAGGCAATCGAAGCTTGTGATTTTAATTGACACGTGTGATGATTTTGGCTGCTGAAGTGGCATCGACATGTTGGTAGTTTCGGCTTGCAATGGAAGTTAAGATTTCGTAATTCGATTACACTAATATATAAAAGTTATTTCTTATAATACAGATACTATGAATTCTGTAGTGCTTTGGATGAAAGTTTCTTTGATCGGTTTTGGAAATTTTAAATTCTTGCTTAAGAAAGTTCAAGGAGCTATGTGCATTATCACCTCGTACAGCTTTCACGTGTGTATGTCAGGGCGACATGAACGCAATTGATTTCATAACAAGATTCTGTTATAGAGAGTGAATGCCATAACCAAATTTCCATAAACTGAAAAGTAAGAAATCCTCCGTCTTGAGGTCAGTAAATCCTATCGGGGTTGTTTCAAAGTTGCGCAATTTTGCTTGAGGCAGTTACAGTGCAGTACTCCAGCAAATGGTGTTTTCGATATAAGTTTTCGATAAGAATTGAGTTCACTTTCTCTACAATACGTGTCTGTTGTTTTGATTTAAGAAAACCGCGATATTGCACTCGTTTCCGAATCAAACGCAGAACGAATCGTCTCGGGTACCAGTCAGTTTAGTTTGGCTGTCTCCATAGCAGTTCAACTAGTTGATGCAACTAAGAAGGCACTAGTTTGCCTCAGATAATCTTCATGGCAGTCAAATAATTACCCATGATTTCAAACCTCTCGTTTACATGGTTTCTTGTTTGTAAGAAATAAAGTACCTACCCATAGGAAGTGTGCACCAAACTGTGTTTGATCACAAGCGCCCATTAACAGCACTCCTCTTCTAGATTCAATCATTGTGGTACTGATGTGATTTTTTTTCTTAGAGGGCATGGTAACGAATCTTGCAATTCCAATTGGCCCCTAGTGCGATCTAGATTTTCTTATCTCTGCCCGCAGGGCATGCATCAGTGATTCACAAAATACATCCTTAGCTTCGTTGCAGTTTTTCATAATTATATTCGGTTTTACTGGCTGGGCAGTATTTTTGAGCAAATTAAGCTTTTCAATAACTCAGTAACCCTGTCTTTTCTCTTTCTCTCTCAAATCACTTTAGTTACCAGCAAATTACTGGCTTTGAAATGAATTCATGACAGCAAATTTGTCATTAAGGTATCAGAGAAGGAGAAAAAATATTAAGAGAAGTTATATTTTGATCTTTTGTGGTAGTGTAAGGGTTAAAGAGGAAATTAGACATGAGAAGTAGTGACAAACACAATTATCATTGTCATCATCATCTCATTATAACTGGGGGAACAAAGCAAGTGTTCTGGCTAGTTGTCATTAAGTTGTGTCTTATTACCTCCCAGCTGACATCAGCCTGGCTGATTGGGGTCGTAAAGAGATCATCATGGCTGAGAATGAAATGCCTGGTTTGATGGAGATGCGAAAGAAATATGGTCCCACAAAGCCTCTCACAGGAGCTAAAATTGCAGGCTGTCTGCACATGACAATCCAAACTGCTGTTCTTATTGAAACTTTGACTGAATTGGGAGCTGAGGTATTTGTAAATACTGTTTCTTACATATGGATTGTAGAGTGAATGTTAAATTTTGATATAACTGAGCAAAACAATTTCAGGTGCACTGGAACATATAATCTACTATAAATCCTGGTCATTGTTGACTTTTTCTGCGTCTAGTTGAAGACACTTGAGCAAGGGAAACATCTCAATGTATATCCACTCAAACAATAGCCAAAAGCACACTAGAGAAGTGCTATTTTTATCATTATAATTTCTTTTGTATTTAAGAATTGGTTCATGCTTACGTTGCACATATTGAGTCATGAATACCCATGGCAAGTTTGGAGAGCATGAAACAAGTGCAAGAGTCAGAAAGCTTAGTTTTCTTCATTGCTTTAGGAATGAATTATCATAAACTCTTAGGCTAATTTCGTCTCCTAAAACTCTTAAAAGAGGTATATGGTCATTAAAAGCTAAGTTTTTTGTTTTTCTCATGATGCAGTCATGTGTGATGCAGATCGCGATGTTTCAACTAAACGAAATGTTGTGATCTACATCAGATGTGACTACATCATGAGACAAACAAAAAACTTGGCTTTTAATGACCATATACCTCTTTTAAAAGAGGTATATCTTTCAAAAAACTTGGCTTCTATTGTTATTCACCACAATGAATAACCATAACCTTTTCTTTATGGTCATTTATTTTTGTAACAAGTATTGATTAGCAAATTTACTTTCATTTTGAGCTTCAAAAGGTCTATCTCAATTGGAATGGAAGGGAAAACTATCTGTAGAGTTTTTTTTAACCTTGTGGGTAAACTTGATGGGAACTTGCAGTTAATGTGAAACCTAGCATGTCATGTTATGTATGCATGGCTGTGCTTACATTCCGCTTAGAAATCAGGTAGGACTTGCAGGTGTGTTTTGTTGGTCAAGATTTATACTGACAATACAGGTCTTTGCTGTCACAGGTTCAGTGGTCTTCTTGTAATATCTTCTCCACCCAAGACCATGCTGCAGCAGCTATCGCTAAGACAGGTGTTCCAGTGTATGCCTGGAAGGGAGAGACTGATGAGGAGTATGTCTGGTGTATTGAGCAGACCCTTGTCTTCCCTGATGGAGAGCCACTGAACATGATCCTTGATGATGGTGGTGACCTCACCAACCTTGTTCACGACAAATATCCCCAGTTTTTGCCAAGTATGTTAGAGGTTGATTCATGCTTCTTGATAGATATGTAATGGATAAAATTGCTACTTAGCACTGCATGAATATTTTCACTTTGTCGGGTAATATTTTGGTAAATTGATGACTTAATGATTTGCCCATAATTGGACCTAAATTGAACACCCTAATATCAGAATGCATATTCTCCATAATGTTTTCTATACATTTCCAAAGGTGCTGACAAAGAGAATTTGTTTAAAAATCAAGAGCTTCTTTAGTTAGTGATCATTTCCTCTGTTCTCATAACCTTTGTGGGTGATTCATGGGTGCTATTGTAAGGAGAAGTTAGATGCTAATCATTCTTAGTGGTCAACGGGATAAGCTCTGGCTTTGAACAAGGTAGTTTTACAGCCCCTCCCCACATGAAAAGAGTGTGAATGAGCACCAGCAAATTTTTAGGGAAATCTATCAAAATTCTGGGAATAAAGTGTTCTGATATTTTTTAGAAGCCAGCATCGAATGAACAGTACCTGGCAAAGGTTAAAATTTATGTCAGATCACCATAGGCTTTTATTGCTTTGTCTGCTTCAAGTAGCCAGCAAAAACACTGGCTGCTGATGCTTCTGAAGACCACTGGGTAACCTTTGATAGTCTAAAATCTCACTCAGAGTATGTAACTATCCTGCCAGTTTCCATGTGTAACTTGACCCTTTCATTCCCAAGATTACGATATATTTTTTCTCTGAACTGTTTGTAATCGATTTCTGATAATTTTTGTATGAATAATTTGGTGCTAATACAAATAATATTCCTTAATTTTTTTTCTCTCTGCCTCTCTGTTTGTATAAATATTTATACACTGTAAAGAGAAATTCCTCCTTCTGTCACTCTGGGGAGTGAAAGGATTTAGTTGGAAAAACTCCAGTAAAGAGACTCGCTTAGCTCCTGTGCTGATTCTTATCTCTGTTTGTGTGATTAAACTATTAATTGTTTTACTTTAGAAAAGTTAACTTACACGATATACAATTTTTATATTCCAGAAATCAAGGGACTTTCAGAAGAGACCACGACTGGTGTACATAACTTGTACAAAATGCTTGAGCAAGGCAAACTGAAGGTGCCAGCCATTAATGTCAATGACTCTGTTACCAAGAGCAAATTTGACAACCTGTATGGAATCCGTGAATCTCTTGTTGACGGTCTGAAGAGAGCAACAGACATCATGCTTGCTGGAAAAGTCTGTGTTGTAGCTGGATATGGAGATGTTGGCAAAGGATCAGTACAGTCTCTCCGTGGTTTTGGTGCTCGTGTTCTGGTCACTGAAATTGATCCCATCAATGCCCTTCAAGCTGCCATGGAAGGTAAAGTATGCAAAAGATATGCAACTTGTCAGCTTTCTGTAAAGAAAAGAGAGTACTTGCTGGGTATTGTGTTATTGGAAATTGCGGCTGAAGTTTTCTTAAACTGATAGAAACCACAATAAATAAAAATTTTCATTTGGATACAGTGTAATTCAACATTAGAAAGTTCTGTAAGAATGCTTGTCAGCCTAGGTGTTGTGGTTTTTTTTAGTGTTAAAGCTGTTAGCAAGAGTTTAAACGTGGAGATGCAAGTAGAATGCTCATACTAATAATGAATAACAATGATTAAGTGTTTTGATATGCTGTGTGTTGCCCTTGTTTGATTAACAGGATACGAAGTTGTTACCATGGAAGAAGCTGCCTCACAGGGACAGATCTTTGTCACATCAACAGGATGTAGTGGAATCGTCACTTCAGAACACTTCTTGAAGATGAAGGATGATGCCATCATCTGCAATGTTGGCCATTTTGATTGTGAAATTGATGTTGCATGGCTCAATGAAAACTGTAAAAAGGACAACATCAAACCTCAGGTACAAAGCATCTTCTGTGACTCTCTTCATAACTAAGATGCAAAGCCAGATTTACCAGTAATGTTAAAAAAAAAAGAAAGAAAAAGACATGAAAAAACCGTATCACTCCCAAGGTCTGATGAGTAATTATCCTTGCTGTCTACCATTTAATTCTTATGATACTTCTTCAGAGAATTTAGTTGTCTATCAACTATTGATTCTCCAATTTATGTTTTCATTTATTCTATCACTTTTCTGCTTGATATTGTACCGATATAGTAAGGAGAAATTCTGTCTCGGTCACTTTTGGAGGGAAAGGCTTAACTGATGAACCACAGTGGAAATGGAAATCACACTGATATGAACACTGCTCCAATTTAGGTTTCCTAGTTTGAACTGTTGACCCAAGATTCAAGATTTCATTTCATTTTACATTAGGTTGACCGTTACGCCCTCCCCAATGGTCGTCACATCATCCTACTTGCTGAGGGCCGTCTAGTAAATCTTGGCTGTGCCATGGGACATCCATCATTTGTCATGAGCAACTCTTTCACAAACCAGGTCATGGCTCAGATTGAACTTTGGGAGAAGACAAGTGAATACAAAATTGGTGTTTACATGCTTCCCAAGAAGGTGAGAGAATCTCTGGCAAGATACTTGATGATGAGCTTTAAAGGTCCATGATTGGTGATTCTTTGAAAGGCAGAACCACTCTTGTTATGATATTATTCATTTCCCTGATAATTTTGTATCCCTTTTGCATCAAAGATCTGCAAGCCACATAAAATTCTCCCAACATTTACTTATCAGGTCTCTTTGTACACACATGTGAATGCTACATATGTATCTCTTGGCTGTTGTCCTGACTTGTATGACCAATATTGTTGACAGGGTTGTAAAAATGCAATATTGTCAAGAAAGCTGGATTGCTGATTGCATCTGGGTTGAGAGATTTCTAAGTTTTGAGAGTTATGAAAAGTAGTTGAGCTCACTTACATTAATTGAACTGCAAAAGGGAATGTAGGTGTGGAAATGTCTGATTTATCAGATTTGGAACTCTCATTCCCATGGTTTAGTGGCATAAAATAACCCACACAAGTCTTAGGAGAATGCTAAAAAAGTTTGTACCATACTCTTGTCCGAAGAGTGATGCATAAACTTTTTCTGTGTTCTTCCAACATCTTGCCAAGAGTTATTACATTGATTAATGGAATGGAAAGGGCAGTCTGTTGCTTTTATAAAATAACTATAGGACAGGTTTTTGACCAATGAGAGTGCCTGTAGTATCTCAGTTATACAATAATAATTTTTAAATGCATACATTTTAATTGTCTTTCTAGCTTGATGAAGAAGTTGCCAGGTTGCATTTGGACCATCTGGGAGTTAAGATGACCAAGCTTAGTGACAAACAAGCCAATTACTTGGGAATACCCTCTGATGGACCTTACAAACCCTCTCACTACCGCTACTAAATACCCCTTTTTGGGATTGGACAAGACAGTGGACTTTTAACAACAAATTAATTTCCTTACATGTGTTTGTGGAGATGTTTATTCCTCTATGTCGTAAACTTTGGTGTCAGTGGCGCTATTTATTATAATTGTGTTGCTTAAATAAACAAATAAGCCTACTGATTGGGAATACTTTGGTAAGTTGTTCTACAATGTAAAATTGCCCTATTTCCACCTCAAGCTGTCAAATACCTCAAAATGGGAATCTGGGAATAATGAGCAAGTCTGTACTGGAGCCCAGTGTCCCACCTTGCCAGAGCTCACCTGGTTTCCCTAGTATGAAGCGGCTACGAGTGTTATTATTTGATGAAATGCTTTTATGATGCAAGGTTACCCCTCTTCCCCTCTTCCCCCCCCCACAACATTTCATCAGCCTTTCCTAATAGTTAGCCAGTACCCATATGTACTCCTGGGTGGAGGGTGGAACTGTGCAAGTAAACTGTCTTGCCCAAGGACACAACACATTGACCGGCCAGGTCTTGGATCCAGAGCTCAGTGCACAGATCATTTAGCCACTGCTTTGCAGCCTGATGAACAAGTGTGCCAACGTTTTTCTTTGGAGCCATGGAGTGATTCTTGGTGTTTTGCATCATTTCAAGATTTGATCTTTCACACAGGTTTTGAAAGCCTCTTGTAAGGAGCAAGGGAGGATCAAACCCCAATGAGGCCTTTACACCCTAACATCAGTATGCATATTCTCCATACTATTCTCCATACATTTTCAAAGAGGCAGACAAAGAGAATCTGTTCAACAATCGAGAGCAGCTTTAGTTAATGGTCATCTCCTCTACTCTCATGACTTTCATTTTTGATTCAGGGGTGATAGAGTAAGGAGAAGTTAGATGCTAGTCACTCTAAGGGGCCATAGGTTGAGAAGTTTTCTTAAGTTAGCAATTGTCACCCTGGTAATTGGTTACATACGATATGAATGATTTGCAAAGATTTGCTCGCTAGTAATAAGGAAGATATTTCTCCCCCTTGAAATATTTGCAAGTATATTTCCTCTCCAGACTGAAAAGCTGCGTTGAAAAATTTTTTGATACTTTGTTTCTGGGCGATTGACTCGAACCGTTTCTTATGGAAAGAAGAGTTTAAAACATAATATGGGGTGGTAAATAGCGGATGATGATGAGCCACGACCACGGTTTTGCATGTGTGGTTCACTCCCAGGAATCATATTAGATTGTGTGACTCATTTTGATCTAATTCAATCACACCTTGTACCACTTAGAGTTACTGAATTTCGGTCCACTTTATTTTGCTTGGAGTTAAGATTTTAAAAGTGCTGCTTCCGGTAACGGTACTTGCTCTCTTGACAGTGAGGGGCACACGATACTGGAAAGAAAATAACCAGGAAGACAAAAAATAAATCTCTCTCTCAACAATTTCGAAAAAATTCCAGCGAAAAAATTGACGATAATACGCGAACCTCATTTTATTGGTGTAAAATTAAATTCGTGCAAGAAATTAGATCTTGAGAGGTAAGGGTCGCGGGTCTAAAGAAACATTCACACTTCAGTCATGGAGCTTTGGATCGTCACTTAAACGATTTATCGAAAGAATCGATATTCGACTTGATTGAGTCTGTTGCGTTTAATTTTGTAATGGACGAGCTATTGTCGATTGTCTCATAGGACAAAAAGGACTGTGTTTCCTTTGCCTCTGCGTTTGTGATCTCTTTCACTCTTGACGTCATGTCTTCGTCGTTCGATTCACTTGGTCCCAGTTTCCCCTCGTCATGTGAAAGCCTGTCACTTAAAACTCAATATCCAGACTGTGTGGAAGAGGCTGTGAATTATATTTACACCAAACGAGCGAATGATTTTTTGCACTTTACAGGGGTAAAAGTCTACGTCTGCAGTGAACCCCAACATGTTGGTTCCTCTCTATTATTTAGAGGAGGAATACTGCATACAATTTTGGTAAAAATTGGTTGTTCTTGGAAGTTAACCATAGGAATTCGTCCTGCGAACAACAGTGAGCCTAGATGTTATATATTAGATGGCTAATTTTCATAAACCTGGCCGGGAGGTGATTTGAAGTGAAATTGCTGAAGACTGATGATTTTTCCTCTCGGAATAATGAGGACGTCAAACGCTCTCGTATGCGCAGGATTTTTAAAGAGAGGGGCGATTTTTGCTGTTTGCCTATTCGTGTTTTGCGAATGGTTTATCTACTACATGGTGATACTTCAATGTTCGTGGCCGGTATTTACTATCGAGGAACATGCAAAGTCCTCCGAACCTCTCAGGACCATGTTACTGACCGATACACACTTGCTAGGGTCGAAAGATGGCCATTGGTTTGACAAACTGCGGAGAGAATGGCAAATGGAAAGAGCTTTTCAAACAGCTGTGTCCTATTTCAAACCAGATGTCATCTTTTTACTTGGGGATCTGTTCGATGAGGGTATGAAATGTAGTGATGAGGTAGGGCTGCCTAGATAGGTGCAGAGGATTTCTCTGTATGATTTTTTTTAATGCAAAATATTTATTTTAAAGCGTAAAAGTCCTGTAAAAAACCTACACGAGCAGGCAAAAGCGTTGACTGGTACACAAACACATGAGCTGGTGACAGATGTGCAGTTGAAAGAGTTACTTGTCTCCATTTAGATTAAAACATTTCAGCTTTCTAGAACTCACCAACATCGTGGTCTCATTATTTTATAAATAAGAAATTTGTAATTTAACTCAGAAATATAGATCTGATGAGTAGTAATCTGGGTCCTATCAGAAAAACCACTCCTTTGTTATTCCCTCAAGTTTTTGCTGTTGAATTTCCAAACCTTTTCAAATATTTATCTTGAATGTAAAGAAGTAGCTTATTTTGTGACTGGTGAGGCTTAAAACTTTAGCAAGACAGGTCTGTAGAATGTTCATGTTTGGAATTGTTGTGGAGATCAGGCACAGATACTCTGGACAGACATCAATGTTTGCACCAAGGTAGGAATTGCCAGGTGAGATCTCAGAAACCAGGCCTATCAGGTTTACCTTGTTCACAGAAAGAGGCACTAAAATAAAACACAGCTCAATGACTTGAAGTTTGTGAAGGAATATGGGATAGTTTTCACACATACCAGTAGCCACCAGTAAATTAAATTAATGAAACAGAATATTTCACTGTAAAACAGGAATGGAATAAGTACATCCAGCGTTTTTACAAGATGTTTCGTCATTCAACTCATACCAAATTTTATGTTGTGGTGGGGAATCATGACATTGGATTTCACTATGAGTAAGTGTAGAAGAATATATTCATAAACTTTATTTTAATGCCCTTTAGGCACAGATTCACCATGTTATAAGTTATTTAACAAACATTCCATGAGTGCATGTTGGGTATGAGTTGACTATAACCAAAACTTGTATCCAACAAGCACAAATGGAATAATTGTTTCATTAAATTTCATGAAATCCTGAATGTTTGGATGTTTGGAGCTTTTGTCAGCTCTGTTACAGTTGGTGCAATGCATTTAAGGTGACTCAGAATATGACTTTATAACAGGAGTTGAGTGAACCAACAGAACACTAGAAATGTTATATTCGGGATTGAAATTGTCAATATTGTGTTAATATTGTAAGGAAAAATTCTGTCTTGATAGCTCATGGGAGTTTAAAGTTAAGGAGTGTGCTTGTTGAGGTTTTTACTTGACATTTTTTTTTGCGTTTGTCTGTAAAGGGCATCTGGTGATCAGCATCTCTTTCAACGATTTTCAGCTGAGTTTGACTCTCCCTCAGTAAAACTTCTGAACATTAGAGGAAACTTGTAAGTACTGTTGTTGTCTTTTTTTGTTTTTTTAGCCTTAAGTAAACTTCACAGTCCATTAGAAATCTACTTTTCCATGATAGTACTTGTTTCAGGGGTTTCATGAAAAGTCAGTTACTAGCAGTGTGCTGTGGCCTATAAGACCTCTTACTGTCATCTGTTTAATCTCTAACCTGGGTTTCCCCTTACAGTCCCTTTCCAGTCACAGCTGCCTATAATCTCATCAGCAGCTGCATGTGGAAAAAATTAACTGTCATTGAAAACCCTGTTTGTTTGCTTTTAAACTTTCTACTTTGGAGACTTCCCCTCAAATAGGTATTTTCCCAAAATGATAAACCTTGGGGAAGGTAATGAATATTTTTTTGATGCTGTGTAGTTTCACATTCTAATTGTTTTATTGCATTTAATGCAGTTAAATGCAATTTAACAGAGTTAACAACAAAGAGCATCAGCATTCTCTTGTAGTCAAAAGTTTTTGCACATGTGCATACATCAGATTTCCATGTGCCCTTTGGTTGAGGCATTCTTGTATGTGATTCAAGCATGAACTTGCAGCATCGTGAGGGGTAGCAGCTCATTGTCCGGGCAGTTTTCCCCACCCCTTCCCTCCTTCCCTTTCCTGTGTGGGGGCTCATGGCTGGGTTGCCAGGATTTGTCAGCCATAGGAGAAGTCTCCATCTAGGAGCTGGCTGCCAATAGTGGAAGCTCCTGGATGTTTCAGGCACCCAACTTAGTGATGCAGTTGTTAATTATTAATTTTCACTGTAGGTTTGTCCTAGTGAACTCCATAGCTCTGCAAGGTGATGAATGTTCCATGTGTTCCGAGGCTATGACTCAACTAATGAATGTGGCTAACAAACTGAACTGTCACAGAGAGAGGTCTAGTAAAAAAGTTTACGAAGATGTGATCAAAAAAGAGAAGAAAACATGTGATCTACCCAAGGATTCTCCAGCCCCTATACTTATTCAGGTATTAGACATTTTTAGTACCTCAAGTTGTTGTGATGATATCTTAAGGCATTATGTTTTTACTAGTTAAATCGAGGAGGTCCATGCCTTTGGTAAAATAGTGAGATAACATGTGCATTTATCCATGGTAAAAGCAAAATACATTCCATTTATTACCATCACAGAGTAATGAAGTGACACAATGGCCTCTGGTGTACCACTCTCAAAAGCTTTCTAGCAAACTTTCAGAGTGACTCAGAGAACTATGTGTTGGTTATTTTGATGTCAAATATCTTTATGGTGATTAATGAAGCTACACACTTTACCTCTGGCATTTTCATTTCAGTTGTTAGGGACACTGACTAATGTTGGAGTAGCATTAGTTCAATCTTCTTCAAAATCTGAATAATTTTAAGGCTTTCTTTTTCCATAACTCTCTCAATTGAAAGTTGTGTTTAAATCAACTTGATGCATATCATTCACTCACCAAGTATTATTCATTTTCCAAATTTGGGATAAAATTCCTTTCTTTGCAGAGCAAGAATGACTCACTGAAATTTTCTTCCTCCATGACTTAATCCGCTTTTTAGGTCTTACTTACTGAAAATTTTAGTCCCTAGCGTCAGTTTACTTATTCTTCGTGCTATTCTTTCTGCATTTCCTGTGGTACTGATCAGGAGAATTAATCTAACAATTAAGAGCTTGACTAGGCGGTGATCATTTCCTTTATTGAATTTTTGGTTCAACTGTCATAAGGTAGGAAGAAATTAGATGCTTATCACTCTTAGGGGGTCAAAGGCCTTACCACAGTTCAGCTGTGATGATAGATTTGACACAGCTGACATTGTCATAAATATATCTCTTTTGCAGCATTTTCCGTTGTACCGTAGAAATGAAGTGAGATGTACAGGAGTTGATGCCCCTCCTGACGAAGAAAAGCGCTCCAAAAACAGAGAGAAATGGGAAGTGGTTTCCAAGGAGATGTCTCAAAAGCTTTTGTCATTACTACGTCCACGCCTAGTACTGAGTGGCCACACCCATCATGGCTGCTATCTGTTGCACGATGATGGTACCCCTGAAATGACGATTCCTTCGTTCAGCTGGAGGAATAGAAATAATCCTAGTTTTGTTTTGGTAAGTTTATCAGATAGAATAGCTGTGAATTAAGTGTTAAGAGGATTCCAGGGTTGTGTTGGTTCTGCTTCAATACGCCGGGATGTGATTGTTGTTAATAACTAGCGTCACCCTCTCAACTCATTAGAAAAGCTACAACAACGACCTTCCGATTAGTACTTCGGATGCTCTACCGAGTGTTCCCGATAAGAGTCGAACCTATGACCTTCCGATTAGTATTTCGGATGCTCTACCGAGTGTTCCCGATAAGAATCGAACCTAAGACCTTCCGATTAGTACTTCGGATGCTCTACCACTGAGCTAAAGATGACTCGTAATGTCCATTCTTCTCATTCTTTTTGCCGCTCTATTTAATATTCCTTGCCACAATTATTTTCCTCCAAGGTGTGTCCGTGGAGAATTTTAGGCAACAGAAGCTTCAAAGAGTTAACTTTGGTGTTTATTTTCCTTTTTTAGAGCGTCATTTCCCCGGAAAAGTTCGCTCTGTCAAAATGTTTTATTCCTCGGGAGAGCACGGTAATTGCAGTGTATATCATTGGAGGAATCATGTTTGTTGTAATGAACTTTGGACTTACATATACATCCCTTAGAACTCGTAGAAAATTCAACTCTTGTGTTAGATGACACAGGGTCTATTAATGCAAAATGTCTGTGGTTTATTTTTCCTGTCCTGAACAAAGATATGTTGCAAATGAATTGTAAATGAATTTCAGTGAGTCCTAAATTTATAGTAAATACATAAGAAAATTGTCTCGAGACCATTTTAAGCTATGGAAGGGGAAACGAAATAAAACTGCGATAGAATTACGTGTTTGCTGGACTTGCATCGTTTTGCATCTGCATAATGATAGACAAAAGTATCTTATTTACAGAAAAGTATTTTATCAAGCACATTTTGGATTCTCATGAGTGCGATTTCCGTGGGGGGATTTTTCTTGTCGGAGTTGAGAAATGTTGCCTAATTTAGAGACATGGATTTCTTTTGGTAATTTTTCGAACGATTTGAAGGCTAGGAAACAATCAGCAATAAATAATCACAATGGTAACTGAAATTTGGTTGAATACCACTCTAGTGGAAATATTAAGTGAATGGTCCTCTCTGGCCGGAGGGGACTGGAAGAGAAAGAGAGAACCTAGGTAACTTTGATCAACAGTTGGTGCAATTTGTTGCTAAACGCTGTTACTGCTCAAGTTGTAAACGAGAACCAAAGTGTGGGAAAAAAAAGAAGCACAAGCAATTTTGATGTTAGAACTTCCTACCAGGTGGCAATTTATACTATTTTGTCCAACAATACCTCAACCTCGTTCCCAGACTCGACGAAGTGAGAGGACCCTGGAAAAGAGGATGGCAACAATTCTTCTGAATTGTTCCCATGATCCTTAGGACAAGGGATGCCGAAAGGCGGAACACACGTATTGCCAATTTCCAAATGGCTGATGTCTCTTTCTGCTTGTTTCTTTCACTAAAAGCTTTTACCGTTTAAGTAAACAAACTTAAACTTGGCAGCACATTACGGACAATGAAACGAAAATTTGTTCTGAGTGGAGACTTCTTTAAGTAGATGCTCAATCTGCTCAAAAACGTTCACCAACCATACATTCTCTTAAAATTTGGGTTTTGTTTCTCCAGAATTGAGTGGCAATCTGGGCCGAAGTCTTCTGTGATCTGCCTGTGCGAGGGTCGCTTCTTTTGTGGCTTTGACAGACGACTCAGGGCGTGAAATTAATTTTTTTTCTGATAGCCACCTGGTTCCTAAATTCTTCAAAGTGGTAGCCAATTCAAAAAAAGTTGGTCGCCATTTTCAAAGACAAACAAAATCTTTCTTTACGCTATCAGCGTTCTAGATAGACCCTCCAAAATTAAGTTAGGGAAAAGATCTTTAACGTTCTACAAAGAGGACACTAGGATGGATGATATACAAAGTTCAGGCTCAGTTATCGCTCGAGATGCATGTGCTACGTTTTGGAAACAAACTTAACGAGGAAGTTTGTAAGGATTTATCTTTGCAAATCTTTTTAATTCACTATATCTCTTGGTAAGGTTATGATGAAACGTTCTGGTCGCCAATTTGGCGACTAACTTTCAGGATTTGGTCGCCAAAGTGAAAAATTTAGGCGCATTGGCGCCTGTATTAGGCGCAATTTCACGCCCTGCCGACTTCCGTATGCTTTAAGAGAAAACAATGTTAACAGCTGCAGTTTGCCTGTATGCTCGCTTTTTGAAACAACGTAGATGCCGGTTTAATGTATAAAAATACAGGCGATTTTCAAGTTGGTAAACAAAATTATTGAAAAAAAAAAAAAACCGCACACTGTTTGATTTTTTTTTTAATACTCCTGTCTTGATCTTGACAATACTTTAAGTGGCCTAGAGGCAAATATGTACTCCACAAGACACTGTCAAATTAATTTATTTTGTGCAAGATTAGTTAAGATTTCTTTGTTAGATTCGACGAGTCATAATGCTCTTGTGATATTCAGCTGATCATGGGTCCTTTAGACCAATCAATTGGCAGGCACAAATCTTCCATCATTTCTAGTTAAAAGTGTTTTATTGCTGTTATTAAGAAAACGTTTGATGTTCACCGCAATTTGACAGCTGTTCATTTTAATTTCACAGAATTTATTTTGTCTTTGGAATAATTTATTTGATATCTCGTTTCCTTTACCGGCCCCGGCTTTCTTTTGTTTTCTTTCTCCACCTAAACCGTTTCTTTTGGGTTGTGTGAATTGAATTGAGACAAGGCACAATATTTGTGGCGAATTAAGTGAGTAAAATCCCTTTTTCTTGATAACCCTGTTTGAGTGTTTTACCAAGCTGATGGTTATTGCGAGCCATTATTTTGCACTTATGGAAAAACTTTCCAACTACGTACGTCAGAACAGAGGGACGGAGTTTATTTACAAGTGTGAGAAGGAACAAAAAAATTGTCTTTACAAATCGAAATTGACTTTTGCGCCGTTGTTGAGGTGATAACTCGATAGCATTCACTAGCTTTATTACCATCTACATCAAATTATGATTACAGTTAACGACTTTAAATGCATTTCGACTTTAGATTAAATATAACATGGACAAAGTGCTTAGGAGAAGACAGCCCTTGTTCAAAGCGTTTTAATGGTCGCATCAAGTGTTCCTTCTTTCATGAACTCTTGGGATTTAAATTCATTAATGTAGCCAGCTTTACCTTGCGCTTTTGAAAAACAAGTCCAAAGTTTTTTGTTTTTTTTTCATTTTCAAATTAAAAAGAGGCACGCCCCCGAATGAAAAATAATTTTTTGTAATAAGAACTCATGCGTGACAATCAAGTTTTTTCTTCAAGAGGCTCAAGTATGTGCATTTACGTTTTAATTTTGATCAGTTCAGGAAAGTGACTGTATTCTATCGTCTTCAAGATCTAAACTTTTGTCTTACAGTCTGTTGATTAAAACTATTGAGACAAAGATGATAAGAACCACCATTTCGCTTACGGCTTTAGTACAAATTTGATCCATGTAAGCCTTTCTTTTTTATATTTTCCTCGAAAACCACGAACCAAGATTCTTTTTTTTTTTAGATTCAACTTGCTTTGTGTCAGCTCCGGCACCTGCTAAAAAGTAGGCGAGATCTGTTCATGTACAAAACAAAGCAGGTGAAAATTTTGCTCCTTTTTTTCTGATTATTTTTCTTCTTTATGACAAACGTGACTGCCTTGAATCAAAATTTCGGCTTAGGCGTGGGTTCCACTGATGCATGCAGATTAAATATAGTACCCCGGCAATTTAAAGGGAACTGAAACATTTGCTCTTTCCATTTTTTTTTTTTTTTTTTTTTTTTTTTTCATTAGAGACGCTATGTTGATTATTTTTCTTCTTTATGACAAACGTGACTGCTTTGAATCAAAATTTTGGCTCAGACCTGGTGATCCACTAATGCATCCAGATTAAATATAATACCCTGGTAATTTAAAGGGAACTGAAAAACATGACCGCCATTCCTAGGATGTTATGTCTATGAAAGTATATCGCTTTGAAAAACAAACTAACTTTTGGCTTCAATTTTCTAAAGTTTTTCCTTGTTCATTCATGGTGATTTATTTTCATGGATTTTTTTTTTTTTTTTCGTTTTACAGATATTTTGACGTTTTGTTCCGTAAACGCACCTCAAGACGCATCCTATGAAATCTGTGAAATTAATTTCAGGTGTCGCGTTAATCAATGAAATAGGATGACTTCTGTGGGAGTTTTGCAATTATCTTACAGTCGTAAACTGGGTGCACAAAATGTGTCCTTTGTTTGAACGTATCTTTGTTTGACACATGAATTAACATACAAAAAATAAATAGACAAAATAAACAGTGAATACCCAGGAACTTTTAAAGAGAGAACTATAATTGTTTGTGTTGTTCTCTACATGAACACTATGTACTGAGGACTTGAAAATTGAGTATTGAAAAATCTTTGTGGGTGACTGTTTCGTCTTGATTCTTTCTGCACTTTAAATGCCGTCTTAGAGCTTTGAAGATGATTTTTTCCTCGTTCTAAATCATTTATATTTGAGAGATCATCTCAAGTTATAGGATGGTCAAGCTCATGAATACAGATCAAAAGAAGGCGCTCTTAAAGCTGTAAACTCGTTAGCAAGAGCCTCTTAGAAATTAACTTCTGTTTCCAAGGACCCATTTTTACGCGCATGAAAAAATTGGTATATTCTGTGACAGTTTTTCTTTTTGTTTCAATAAAAGTTGTTCTAGGAGGTGTGTTTTCATAGCTATGAATAGTTCATGGTTTCCTTTTCATTGCTATTCATACAACTCTGTCGTCAAGGTCGACCGCATTTTCATTGTGCTCTCCCATTTCCACCTCTTGGCAATTCAAAAGACTTTTGAACTCGTCTCGATATCTTCTGTTAAAAACTGTGTAAACGATGGGGTCTGCAGCACTGTTAGCAAACACAAACATGTTAGCCAAGATAACCCACGTATTGCACTGTGCACATTTGTTATCGCTGAAGAAATCGAGTACTAACCAGGCGATATGGTTTGGTAACGCGCATACGGCAAATACTATAGTTATAACAATCGACATTTTCAGCACTTTTTCTGAGTCTTTTATCTGATCTGGCTGTGCGACTGGTACTCGATCTCCGTTTAACCGTAGTTCGCGACAGATTTTGAGGTATGAAACAAAGACAACAGGCAGTGGTATTGCGTACTCTACAAAGAATATTGTAAACGAGTAGATGCGACTGTATATTTGCTTTGGTTCCGGCCAACCCTCTTCGCAATGACCAGTTGAAGGGTTTACTCTGAGGACCAACACGTAGGGAAATACCAAGACCAGTGAAGCGAGCCATATGAGATATATGGACTTTTTTGCGTCAGCGAGACCGATTTGAGTCTTCAAAGGATGAACTATAGCGCGATACCGACTGTAACCGATCGCCGTCAACGTGAAAACGGACGCGCTAGCGCACAATGTTTGTAATGGAAAGAGTACCTTACATAATGCGCCGAAGTATGGCCAGATGCAAGACTTCTCTTGAACGGGAAGATCAAATGGTATACATATTAGCGTGAACGCCAGATCGGCTGCGGCTAAATTGACCAAATAATAATTCATCACTGTTCGCATGCGAAGTCTTTTCCAAACTACCCAGCACACAAAGCAATTCCCACTCAAGCTCACGGCAAAAATTGCGCCAAAGATAAAGTACTTTAGGACCTTCACCACTAATTCATGCCTTGGAGGAGGACAAATCTGTATGGACTGATTTGACTGCGCAATTGTTTCCCCGATAGTTGCATTCAAAGCCGACATGTTTCAGGCGGTGGAGCGATTCCGCCTCTTGACCAAAACCGAGTTTATCAGCGAAGATATGATATTAATTTATATCACTGAAATTTAATCGCAGCGGACATTTGGCTAAACGTCAAACACTCAATGGACTTTAGATGTCTTGGCCAGTAGGCGTCGACCTCTTGAGGCAGGTGATGCAACAAATCCTAACTAACAATGTGCAAATATATTTACTTTTCCCGCACCGTACGATGCGTCTTTCGTTAACGAAGCTGACTTATAGAAAACCTGCGTCGCTGGTCAAGCAGTTTGGGAGATGAGAAATTTCGTGTTGGAGTGTGAGCCTGTGTTTGCATAAGTCACGGAAAATTGATCCACTGTCAATGTATCTGCATTGCTCACAACCTGATGCAAATTCGACTTTAATTTCCACGCGCACCGAATGTTTCTTATCTTTTTTTATACGGCTAGCATTAATGGTTAACACAGTTTTAGGGTTAGGGTTAGGGTTAGGGTTAGGGTTAGGAGTGCCGGACGGGATTATTATTATCAATCTCACAATAATTGAAAGGAGGGCAATTCACCAGGAATCGGAGATGCGGTTATTACATCCCCACCGCAGTGGGCTTTATTTTGGCAAATGCGCAGTTGCCTAGGGGCACGACATAAAGTACGCTCGAGGCAATCGAGGCACTGAAGTGGCCATCTGGCCAAGAAAAGGCAATTGTTGAAAACAAAGATAAATTTCTGTGACTTTTTTCTAAAAAATGTCCTGGTAAATATCTGCCCATTGAACACGCTCTAGTTCAATTCCCTCCTGATCTAACATATACTTCTTCATAACTTCAATTCAATTGTCAACTTCTTTTTCAAATTCACTTTGAAAACATCATATCCGGAATACGCATTATAGAAAATAAAATTGGATTTTCGCATTCTACTCGCTTTACGTCTATGGAAGAGAGACAACACACTGCTCTATGCACCCAAAGGCACATATAAAGAGGATCGAAATTGCTCTAAGTTGTTACAACAGCTGGCGCAAGGTTTGCAAGGAAGGATGACCCCATTTGAGTTTTTCCACCCACGCAAGTTGAGTTGTTAATACTTGGCGTTCATAATTTAGACATATCTCTTTCATTTTATACACACCATAAACTGAAATTCACAGTGTGTTATTTCAGATAAGACTAAACATAGATTTTTTTTTTCTGAAGCGGTGTGACACTGAAAAGCTTGTGTATATGTAATAGAAAATGGATCACAGTCAAAAGTGTCCGTAAGAAGTCTGTCGTGTTTTACGTTAATGACTCGGGAAATCCGCTTAAATGACATACCTTGCCTGTATTACCGGTGATAAAATTTCAAGGGGAGACGGCACCTCCGGGTAAAATTGAAAGGCAGATCTGTCAATCGGCGAAGAAAGTGCCCATTAACTCATTAAGTTCGCTCAATTTACATCAAAGGGAGCAAGGTAAAGGCTTTACTTTCCGGAGGCAATACGAGGCTGGGAAGGTAGTAAAACATCCTTTCATAATGAACGCTAGAAATCGAACTGTGTAGTTAACGGCGTTGTCACGAGTAGGATTACGGAGTGGCAGCGAATGTCTCGATTTCGTACCTTTTCAATCTTCTCGCCGCTGAAGTTTGTCTTCAGTATCAAGGTGAAGTTTCAAGATTCCACGCAGCCCACCACTGCTGTTTAGAATGTTTCGGTTTCAGTGGCAGTAAGCGACGAGGAGTATCCTCTCCTCTTCTATTATACGCTTTAAGAGTCAATCCCCCCCCGTGGAATTTTGTCAGCTTTCCGTCGTCATGTAGTCCTACGTTTCAATTCTGACGCGAGTGAAGCGTTTAGCATCGGCCACAATGCACTGATCCGGCGGGGAAATGAGTTCCATTCGTCTCAAATTTCGTCAAGTTAAGTTCACACAGTTGGAACCATAAATGTCTCACTATGGGTATCAGTCTTTAGGAGTTACCTTTTTCTTTAAAAAGGGGGGGTGTTTGTCGATCCTTAGATTGGAAATATAAACGACAAACTACGCTATTTAAACTATATTTTATTTCATTTTCATCTTCTTCTTCCATAGACGTCCGTTTATATCACTGTTTTTCAGGAGCATAAGCTAATCGACGGAAGCAAAGAAAAGTAACAGTTTCGGCAGATTCTTAACAAATGCTAAGGAAGAGTGTCTGATACATATTCGCTCAGAAAATTGGAGGGAACTTAGGATGACGGATGTGTCACGGCAACAAAACAACACTTCCATAAAGCCATATCCTCACTTGCTTTAGATCGTATATTATCTTGCACATTATACACAAACTTGTGGGAAACCAACAGCAATTTCCCTTATTGTTTCACCGACTTATTTACAGATAGTGACTCGTTAAAAATTAGAACCTGTTCGTCTGATTCGTCAAACAGAAATATCAAGACATTCAGAAAAGAAAGACTGGTCATTTTCAAAACGTGGATGGTTGCAACGGCTTCACCATCGACACTGCCTGAGGAAACATGCTGTGGTAGTTTGCGAGAGGAACTGCTCTTGCAATAATTTGCTTCCCTATCAATGATAAAGAAAAAGAACTTTAGTATTCTATGATAAAAACCCTCATGGTTTTGGCGTCAGGTGCTGGACTGATTTTGTTCTGCTTGCGCATAAATGATTATGGTAGTTCTCTGAGAAATTTAACCTTTCTGACCGAATGCATTTGTTGAAGAATTGAAAACCCCTCATGAGAATACCTTACTAATAGATTTCAGTGGAATAGCGACCCCTCTAAGACACTATCCATCGATACTTATCCGAGATAACAAGTTGAGGGAAGAAAATTTTTCGTTTTGCTTCGCTCTACACAAAGATGCTGAAGCGTGAAAATCTAACAGACACTAGAGGGATCAGTTGCTTTACAACTGACAAACCATCAGACACTTTCTGTTCGTATGCATGGACACAAGTAAGCCTTTTCGCCGACGTGAAACCTTACTGATTCCGCTACTTCTTCCATAGCCAGTGCACAGTATCAGCACACAGCTACTATTTTTGCTGCTTTGACGCTAGTTGAAGAAGTTAATTATTCGAATCCACTGCAACGGTTTCTACGCTATAAACCAGGAAATAGCTCAGCCAACACGATCTAAACTAAAACGTTCACACCAGTAACATTACTTTAGTATCACTTACCAGCAAACCATCTGCCGTGGAGGGCTTTTGAAGCACTGGCAGCAACTTCAGCATTACTACATTTCACATACACGACTCCCTGTAAATAAATGCAAATATCAGCTTAAGGAGACTGTTAATAATTCAAGAGCCTTGCTCGCACTTGGACCACTTCGAAGGGGCAAGGAAGTTCTTTAACATTTTTCCATTTTTATAAGATTTGAAAAAAAATTACACATGACGAGCCCTTGCTGCAGTGGTGAAGAATGCAACTAAGACCAGTCTAAGTCCATGCACAGCTGCTCTATGCACATATTATTTGCTTCAAACAAACCTGGGTAGAGGTCTTGTCCACATGAATGTGATACACATGACCATATTTTGTGCATTCTTCCAATACATCATCTTGAATGTCAGCATCCCAATCAGGGTCTTTCTCTCTATTGAAACAAATAAAACCACTCTGATCTTCTTTCCAGAATAAAAACTTTTTCAAGATTAATAACCACTACCAAAGGTAAATGCTTTGACAGAAAATTGACAATGGCTAATGCCTCAGACCATGTGAAGGCTTTCCTACTCAAACTATGGTAACTATTCCTCTCACATCAAAGTGACATCCAGGAACTTCCAGCTGTACTCTCCTACAAAACATGCATACACATATGCATGTACAGTACAAGGACTGGAGTACAGCATGAAAAGTTTAAGAGGGAAGCTGCTACTTACTTGGTAGGGTCAAACATGTTTAACAGCATGATACAGGGTGTAGGAAGGGGAATGGCTACAGGTGCTGTCATAGCTTGTTGTACACCAACAACAGCAGGGGGAACACCTGGCACTTGAAGACCTAGAAAGGCAAAATAAATCAATAAATCTTCACCCATTACCTGAATGCTACTGAAAGAGAAAAAAAAGCCACACATTGGAAGTGAGAGGAGTTTTGAAAGGCTCATCCACAAGTATTAGCTACTTTATTTAATTGAGAGAAAATTCCTTCCAAGATCAAACACCCCAAGTCTTGCCTTGCTCACATCACAGCCTCTTCACTCATTTTGTACTAGTGCACAACTTCATTCCGAGAGGCACAGGTTGGAATCACTTCCTTTCTTGCAGTTTACAGATGAGAATCATTTCTTCATTTGCATATCATGAGCAAGTTAAAAAAGTGAGTTGTTTAAGACTTCAATTGTACAGTTCTTACAACAAACAACAATTAAAATTCCACTAAATGTATAACTAGTAGCCACTTAAGGAACACTTTAGTGAAATCTCAGAATGGTGGTGGCATAATGCAGGAAGAGATTCTTTTCCATTTTTATCGCCAGGTGCACTTACCGGCAGAATGACCCTGAGATAATTTAGCCATGAGAGCAGCCCTCGCAGTGGAGTTTAATTCAACACCACCCTTTTCATACTCCTCATCATCCAGGAAGGAATAGGAAGATGAGTCCCCTCGCTCTGTTACAGGCCCAACCTTCATAGGCCTTCCAGCAAGTTCAAAACCATTCATCTGATCCATGGCTTGCCTTGCAGCATCAGCATCTCTGAACTGTAAGAAGCCATAGCCTTTCGACCTTCCTGTCTCAGAGTCATAAATAAGCTGTACACTATCAACAATTCCAAAGGGTTCAAATATTGCCTTTATCATTTGTTCTGTGATGTTAAAGTGAAGGGATCCAACATATAGTCTTGTAGGTCCTGGTGGAGCCTTGAGCTTTTCAGCCTCTGCTGCTGCTCTGTTCTTCTCTGCTTGGGTAGGCATCACCATAATTGGGGCTCCTAAGAGTTTCTGACCAGACAGGTTTATTGCCTATGAAAATGAAAAGTTCATGCACACAAACAAGACTCAGCATCAACACTGCAACAACATAAAAAAACAATAGAAAACAAAGGCAGGCAATGACACCCTCAACTATTAGTTTGATGCCCTGTTCAGTGACCAGGTTAAATCAAGTTGGTTTTGTTGTGGAGTCAACTTCAGCAACATTACTGCACTTCACACCACTACAGTGGATTTCATGCAAAAACTCACCAGAGGCACAGCTGATCTGTCAGTGAACTCCACATAAGCAATTCCTTTTGACCGTCTTGAGTTACGATCTGATATAATCCGCACATCAGCAACCTAAGATAATAAAGTAAATAAATTACCTATAGCATTACTAACCCCAACACAGGACAAAATGGAATGCAATGCAACATATACAAGTGGATGAATATAAGCAACCCTTCCTCTCACTGCTTACCTGGCCCACTTTTGAAAAAAATTCTTCCAGATCTCTAGGTCTGATATTTCTTGCCAGCTGCATGCAGAATGCTGTTCTAGCATCCCTCTCCTCTGGCGTTATATCCTCTGCAGGCTTTAGCTCCCTCCTAAAAGAAAAGTCATAATACTACTGAGCTTCAGTTTCTCCTCTGTAGAAATGGTTGAACTGAAACTATACTATATTTGTGATGATATGGTCACTGAAGGAAGAAAGCCAATCCACTCTTCCTAAGTTTAGCACTATTTAAAAAATATAAAACAACACTAATCGAGATTTTCAAGGAAATTATGTTACCTTTCAAGACGCTGTACAATAGTGCCACTATTGCCTCCATCTGCTTCATCCCTCTTCTTATGACTTGATGGACTTGGACTACGACTTACACTTCTTTTTCTATCACGTCTTTCTCTCTGATCATGGCTAGAATGTAAGAGTGAAGGACAAGGTTCATACACATCTTAATAAATTATATTCATGATATTTTACCCCCAAATTTCCTCTCAAAAAAAGGTCACCATGGTACATAACCAACAAAAACAAAAACAAGGTCCATCAAAATTTTCTGCTTTTTCATTTAACAAAGGGTTAACCTAACTACATGTACAATGCAGGTTAAAAGTCTTTGGTCACTTGACATGATTTCACAAACATCAAATTATTCTACCCCACCCACCTCTCCCCCAAACAATGTTACCATGCTTATATTGTACAAGCATCCTTGAACTCAACTCAGGAAAAGTGATACCTAACCCTAACCCATTAAGCCATTTTTAAAACCTAAATTCAGCTCGGAATTACCTCCTCTTTTCACTAATAAACTATTACATGAACTTTCCAGCCATCCAAGGAGTAGACCAAACAAAACCTTCATTTGGCCGAGTATTGTCTGTTAACCAGCCCTAATTTCACACCCTGCAGCAATCATGAACCTTTGACGCATTACAGAAACTGATTAACAAAAGAAAACTAGTTCAGGACCTTCCCTGTTTGCAGAACTAAACAACTAGTAATGGAACAGCTTAAGGACTTGATTAAAACATTTCTTCCACAAGTTATTTGACTAGGCTTTACCAACCTTTTGCGCCTTCTGTCTGGGCTTCTTGAACGGCTTCTACTCCCGCTACTGCTCTGACGTTTACGCCTTCTGAAACCAGGCAACAAGAAAGAAAGTCATAGTTGACAAATGATGGAAATTATAAAGAATCTGGTAGACTTAAGTGTCAAACAATTGACCATCCATTAGCAATAAGAAAAAAGTACAAAAAGTATATCTGTACCTGTCACGATCTCTTGAACGACTCCGACCTCTCCGAGCTCTAAAACATTAAAAAGTGACCATAGTTTCAATATCTATTTGAAAAAACTTTCCCTTGAATAATAATAACAATGATATTAATTAAAAGATGAAATGCGCTATATGCCCCTTTGCATGCAGTCACATGGAAAGCATTGGTGAAAGCTGACAAGTGTATACATTGGGCCAGATGGGTTGACATGAGCTGTGTGGAAAAGCCATCATCAAGTCTCATTCAATCTTCCAAACAATGCAGTTAGTTCCCACAAACTCCTAAATTAACAGTTGAACTAGATACAAACACCAAAAAGGGTTAATAAGTTCTACTGAATAGAACAAGTCTTACTTCTCCTGGCTTCTGCTACGGCTACGACGTCTCCGACTCCTGAAATTATCAAACCTAACAATAAGTTACAATTCTAACACAAGTTCATTAGAGAAGAAAAATCAAATTGTTAAATTCCAAAGATGAGTAGCACAATCACCATACCCACTTCTGTAACATGTACGGAAAATGTGAAAATTGCTAGTTTGGGACAAAATCACTTCTTTAGGTCTATTTTAAACTCCCATTTACTATTACAACTGATTTATTTCAAACTATTTTATTTTTGTCACATTTGATTCAAATTTGTATTTACCCAGAATCCCTTGTGGGTGTGGTCTTTTTCACAAATAATCAATTTCGAGTTCACTGACATAGTAAAAAGTAGAAATAATAACATTTTGCATTACATGGAGGCTAGTATCTCCTCAGTGAGATCAACTGGCACTCTAAAAACAGACTTTCTGCCTCTTTTTACAACTTGAAGATCACATCACCATTTTTCTCTTGGAAATTCAGCTCTCTTTTTGTGATTCTTTTCATTATATTTTAGATTCCTTAGACTATTCTTTTCCTGCTTTTTCCTCCTCCACTCTTTGATCCTCGCAAGCTTTTCTTCCTTTTCGTTAACCATACCTCTTGTCAAGCGCACTTGAAGCGATTTTTACAGATTGCTAAATCTCAGAAAAATTATTGAGCTTGAAGACCCGGCGACCCTTGATAACGTCGCAGAAACCGCCAAAACAGGAAAGGTTACTATAGCCGCAAACGCTAATCACTCGTATTTCAAACTTTACTAGAACAAACTTGACACATTGTTGAATACGGTAACTGAAAATGACAAAACTACAAACACACGAATGAGCATAAAATAACTTACATCGTATGAGTGAAAGTACTGGAAAACGACAAAGCGAAATAAACAAGGATACTTACAAGACGAATGTGACCAAACCAAAGACGAAAACATGAAAGCTAGATATGTAACGATAATTTTTGCAAACTAGACAACTAACCAAATAAATTACATGCAACCAATATATATACGATATGCAAATAAATATTACAAGTGCAAAACTGGTAACTGACAAAGGACACTAATGAAGACAAGAAAGTAAACATCTAACACAAAACTATGAAACACCAACACTAACAAAAAATGATAATACAAATTCTTGCGCCTACAGTTACCAAGCTATTTTCGACACGGAGATGAAAAGATGAAGGCGAAAATGGCAGAGCAAACAGCAGATTTCATAGCGCTTTTGGTGGCATTTGTGGCGAGACTTCGTTCTCAATATGGCGTCAACATGGTAAAAAGCGTAGCGACTTGGTCAAAAGTGAATATTTTGGCCGTTTCTAAAGATATGGACCCGAAAACTTGGAAATGACAAGAGAAACTTATGAGCATTGAAGTGTAATCGATTTTGAAACCCGACTTCGCCGTGTTTGAAGTATAGTGGCGAAGGGGAAGGTAAGTTGAAGAAAAATATTATTGCGTAATCAGGTTTTAAAAAACCGTAGCGACTGTTTTACACTGATATTTCTCCGTTTATAGTCAATCCTTTAGACTGATTTTTCGCTATTTTAGAACACCAAGTATGAGCATTTGGTTAATGTGTTTTTGTTCCCACAGGATTCCAGTTCAGTCAATCTACGGACAACAACTTGGTGTACTTCCAAATTCTGAAACCCAGCGTTACACAAAGGATACTTAAGAATGACGAATCTTTTCTATTCGTTGTAATTAACTTGAAATGTCAAAGTTTTGCTCAAATGTAGTGTTTATTGTGTGTTATCATTAGGTGTAATTTGTTTAGTCAAACGAGCTTTCTTTTCAGTGGAAACTGTATTTCAAAAATTTTACCACTGATATTGTGTTACGCGTTACAACCAAAATTGGCTCGATTTTTCATCTTTCACGGGTATTTTCCCGAAGACAGTAATGTGGTTTTCTGATTTTTTGCTTTTACAATAATCAATAAGAACAACTTTACCTGTAAGCAAAGATTTGGCTTCAATGAAAATGTAAAACAGAAGAAATAATTGAAAGTTTGCAGTCAACCCCCTATGGGCATGGTGATTGTGCTACTCATCAAACAGAGAACAGAAGAGTTACCTTCCAGTGCTTCTACTGCGACTCCGATTTCGATGACTACTGTTGACAAAAGTACCGAGAAAAACAGTCAGAACAGTTTGATAAATATTTTGAGACAACTACGGGCTTTTAAGCCTATACCCCTTGGGATATATTGAAACTTTTTGCAGTACTTTTACAAGATTTTTGCCCTCTTACCCAAGATTGGCAAAAAGTAGGCAATAAAGGTTATTAACAAGATGCTTTCCTTCTGGTGGCCAGGATTTTTGCAGCGTAACACTGACGTTGTAGATAATACAATACCTTTATTTGCTCTTAGTGGATCATGTTCAGATGCAAACAACTGTTTGAAATGAGAGAAAACATGTTATGGCACATCTGAAGCTACACTGTAGAAGGAAAATGTTAACTTAGGAAGATGAAGCAAATGTAGCTTATTCAGAGCAAGTAAAAAAAATTTTGATCAGTCCAAAATGTCTAAGCTTAGTGCAGCTCTATACTGGGAACCAAGGAATGAACAAGACTGTTGCTATTACAACTTAATCAGCAAAAACTATGGTGCATTTAATTCCAACCTATGAAACAAAAGATTAACTTTTGGCTTTTAAAATTCTATTGGGTATTCCCTGTAAATATCAACCAAGCTGTCAACATCAATATGCCAACTCACAATCAATGCAACTTCAATCAACAACATTAGTTTGCTACACTCAGGAATTATGTACTATAAAGGTATAAAAAAGACTTTACTTTTTTCTAATTTTCTCTCAATCAGATGATCAGCAACCATCTACGCATAGAGGCATCTCTGCCATTTACTTTTGCCAGGTGATAATAACTTGGCAATTATAGAAAAGTGTAGAAACTGTATAATGTTTTCAGAGTATGGTTTTCCTGACTAGTAGTCCTGCTTTTTTAACTTCTGCCTTGTTACAAATTTAGGCTGAAATCTAAAAAAGAGTACACTCCAACCCTCCCCTGAATGGCCATTTACTTCAACCTGTTAACATCAAAAACCAGACATCTTGTAGTCCAGTGATCATCCGCTGTAATTATGCCTTGCATAACCTAAAATTTCTACCTAGGGCGAAAACAGAAATATTCGCTCAGATTTCACATTGCTTGGTTGTCATGAGGTGCTGCAAAACTGAAGAAGCTTGTTAGGTGTACATGTATCTTCACCTTGAGCACTGATCAAGTGGTCTGATAAATTGACTTCGCATCCTTTATGTCCCTTTGCAACCCTTCCACCATGTATGGAATTACATGAGCTGAATAAAAACCTGACGGTGTTTTGGTGTCTGTTTCTAGAGTTCATCTGGATAAGCGAATGCAAAGGCTTTACATTTTAGAGATAAGACTCCTTGAGTAAGGAGAACACCCCTCTTGTAATCTTACCGTTTTCTTCTCTCTTCCCCATCACTACTTGTCCGGTTTGAGTCACCCTTCCCGTTTGCTTGAGAGGGAGGAGTCTAAAAGAAAGAAGAAGACAATCTCTCTTCATAAAAGAGACACCAAACATACATCCAGTAGATTATCCTGGTTCATGATTTCCAAGATAATCTTGCTACAAACCACAGATTTTACATAAGTCTACCCCTGGGGAGAACCTAGGTAAACAGAAATATGGTCGTTTGCTTTGCTATGTTACAATTATATTACTATGTTATTGATGGTACGACTGCTGGCACAGTAACTGATGCATGATGACAACACTGCAGTGAATGTGAATGCTAAAAGAATCTGAGCACCACATACCCACCTCAACGGTTCATCTCAAAAGCTAGGAAGAAGGCACTCAGTCTAGTCAGAAAAATGTACAGTGTGTAAATTTTTTTTAAACACAGCCTTCTTGTAGAAAATTAATAATGCATCTGAAAGCTTTGAAAGTTCATGACCTCATCCTTTTAGTGAAAGGATCTGCAAAATACTTGCCTTAAAATTTTTGTTAAGAAATTTAATTCAAATGGGAGAATGAAGTTTTATTTATTTTCAATAAAATCAGAACAAAAATGACACAAAAGGTTAGCCCAGTATAGCGCAGTTCATAAATACAACGATTGTGTCAGTCGAGGTGGTCTGTAACTACCTCAAAGGGCTGGTTGTGCTGTAATTTCAAGTCTACAAAACAGAAAATAAGATACTGGGGTCAGATGACTGGGCAAGAAAGAAGCTAGCTCAAAGATATACTGACTGCCACAATCTAAAATTTCAGTAAACTTTTGGGGAAAAGTTATTATAATAACGAGAAAAAATCATATCCTACAAATTTCTTATAAAGAGTTTTGAACAGAATACAGATTTTTAAGCCAGTTTCCATTTCTTTTACTTTTGTCCAATATGACAGAAAATTATAAGTCACTTCAAATCTCCATTACCAAGTTGTTCATATCTCATTGCTAATAATGACTGTCTGGGTTTGAAATGCCTTCAGAAACCTGCTTTTAACTTTTTCATTATGATTTGCTTCAGACCTTATTGAAAAACCATGGAGGAAAAGCATGAGCAAGGCCACCCATTCAAGACATCAGTGGTTTTTACTACATGTAAGTGCTTTGACTAAATTTCACCAAAACCCTATATCAACTCACCTCTTTTCTGTATGGTGCCTCAAGCATTGCTTCTACATCAAAGTCATCAGCCATGATTGATGATGCTGAAGATAAAATTTCTAAATATGAACATGAAAAATGAGACAGACATGTAAGGACCATATGGAGTGATGCAAGTCGAAGTCTTCTCTGCACTGAGGTCAGGGATTTTAGTAGTATTTTGAAATTTAGTCAAGGAGGTGAGGAGCCTTCCATGAAATGACGAGTATTTGGTTTGAGTCTGTTTTCAGCAAAACTGCTGACCAGAAAACTATCACACAATATCATACTGCTGATGGAATAAGTATCATACCCTATCATCTGTGAATTCAAATGATAAAACTATCATTGACTATTATGTGGAATTTGAGCATGTCCAAATTGCATGATAAGAAATGATAGTTGATGATGATGCATGATAATAGTGCATGTTCAAAAGCGCATGATCGCACTATCATCAACTATCATAACTGCTTGTACGGGGCTTAGAAGACAGTTTTTCGGTGGTAACAGTCACCCTTGAGAGTCCTTACACCGCGTTGTCACTTGTTTCGTGGTAACAATTATACTATAATTCGCATAAATTAGAAGTTAGACACATTTTGAGTGCTTGCAAGCAAGTGAACTAATTCAAAGGACAATATTTCGATTGTAGATCATTAAAAGTTGCGGACCACGATGGGAGAGAATCGTCAAAAAAATTTTCATTGCCAGTCGAAAAGTCACATATCTACGTAGTGGACGCGAGCAACATTTGCAAACAGGACTTTCTTTGGCTTATCGTGGTGGAACATTATGTCACTAAAGGACTCGCAAAAAAAATTTTGGGTTTATAATAGTTTGGCAGCTTGCAGTTACGTCGCCTAACAAAAACCATTGAAATTTTCCTCAAGGGAAAAACTGACACTAAAGTGATACATATCAAAGGGTGCTTAGTTAACCAAGCTTAAATAGTACTTACCGGATTTTCTTCGTCAAACACTCAAATGTGATTTATAAAATTCACAGAAACGAAATTCCACTATTCTTTCACAAAATGGCGAAACACGAGTTGCACCACGTTAGGTCGCGGGGGGACCCAGCCAGAAAATCAAGGCGTTGCTAGCCTTATTTAGAAAACATTACCTTATAGGGTTATGATGCTCTGACGACATTCATTTGACGTGAGGGATTGGGTTTAGTTTATTTTTGATATTTCCGTAATGGTGGACGTGAACTTGTAAACTCGACGATATTCTTTCATATAAACGTCATTTTTACTCGGAGAGAATCATCGGAAAGTTTCAAGATGCCGTCAGTAGAAGGTAGGAGATGAATGCCTGATTTTTAAGAAAAGTATATGCAATGATTTCCGGCTGATTGTTTTTTTTTTCGATTGTTTTACAGACACCCTGTTCCAGTTGAAGGTAAGCCAGCGTTGCATTGAACTGTAGGCTTACTTTGCAAGATTACTGACTATTTAACTGCTTACTAGTAATCCGTATTATTCGTGAGGTCGTAACGGTCGTCTTCGTCTCTTTTAAGTTCACATGCAAACAGTTAGAAAGATCCTCAAAGAAATGCGAGAAGGAGGAGAAGGCACAACAAGCTAAAGTGAAAAAGGTATCTAGTGCATATGTTTTGGGGTAAAACGAATTTCGGGTCGAAATGATTTCAAAATGCAAAAAGTTTTAATACCAAGTATGAGGTTAAACACACCTAATTATAGTAACCACCGTTAGTTTTCTCAAGTTATTTAACTAGACAATTGGACAATGCCATTTTTCATTTTGATCAAGGTTGTTTAGTTACAGTTCTACAAATCTTAAGTACAATCGAACCTGCATTGAGTGGCCACCCATGGGGAATGGAGAGGTGACTGGCTAGTTGCTTAACATAGGTTCCAAGGAATAAGGGTATTATTAAAAACAATAAAAACACCATTTTATGCAATTATGACCTCTTAATGTACAAAGCCTCATTCAAAAAATAATTATTGGAAGATGAACAAGGATGAAATTTTACTTGAGAGATTGTTCTTAGTTTTATTTAAATGGTTCCACTTGAACTGATGGTTCAATATGAATAGAAGATTAAAAAAAAAGGCCATTGGGAGTCAGTCAAGGGTGTCCAAGACTGCTCAGTGGGGGTGAACATTACAGTAATTAAGGGGAAAAAATTTGGGGCAGTTGACAACCAACAGCTTAATACAGGGTGGCTGCTTAATATAGTGCTGCATAATACAGGTTTGACTGTACATAATTCATTTATTATTAATTTAACTGTACATTGTAATTGGCAATTTGTGTGATCGTGTAATCTTACACTAGGTCCCTGTTTTGCCCTTGATCAGAAAAACAATTCAGTAGTTATGTTAATAGGACTGAGTGGAGTCCAATTCATTTTGTTATCATGCAAGTGATTCACAAAATGAGACAAATGTGAAGTGGGAGTCTGTTTTTTAATCACTAGTAAAAGTATTGACTGAATTAGATGACGTAAAGTTCTTTTACCGATTAATGAACACTAAGACAAAATCTGAGAAATATACTGGCCATTAAAATATCAATAACAAGAACAACACTTACAAGTGACTTGGCAAAATCCACATTAACTTTCCCAGGATGTGATGGTAGTTCATAACAAGTTTCCCCCTCCTTCTCTCAAAGCATTGTTTACTATCCATTGAATACTTAAACATGAGTTCCAATGTACCATTCATGAGTGAGTGATGTAACAGCAAATAAATGCCTGTTATAGATGTAGAGAAAATGAGAAGTATTCTTCACATATTGCATGAGATACAAACACACACATTCACCTTAACTATACTTGTTTTAAAATTGATCGCTTATAAGTATATTTTTAATTTAAGTAACCACAGATGATAATCACATCAAATACATGCATCTCTTTGCTTTCATCTTGTAGGCTCTACAACAAAAAAATATTGAAGGAGCGAAGATTTATGCAGAAAATGCAATCAGAAAGAAAAATGAAGGGTTGAATTATCTAAGACTTGCTTCTCGTGTAGATGCAGTGTCATCAAAAGTTCAGAGTGCCATGATGATGAAACAGGTACATGTTACACTTTTTAACTGATTCCCTGCCTCCTTTCTGCATGACAGCCTGTTCAAAACCACTATTGTTTTGTTTCCCATCATTTTCTCTCTTGTGTTAGTGGGTTGGTCAGTTGGGCATTTAAAAGGAAAGAAAACTTAAAGGAAAAAGTTAACTGAGGGAGCCTGGTTGTGTTTGAGCATTTGTGTGTTCATTTTCTTTCTGAGTTAAGCATTTCCTATTTTATTTATTTATTAACTGGCTTAAAAATTAGGAATTAATGATAACTGATCAAAATAAGACTTGTCACATGCTTTTCTACAATTTTCTATTATTGCTTTTCAAAATAAAGTCAAGATCATGTGTTTTACCCCTTTCACTCCCAGGATTTCATTAGTAATTCTCTTTAGAGTCTGCCATACAATTCCTATGATGTTAGTTTGGAGAATTTGTATTGAATCAACTAATAATCCCCCAATTGATATTTTTTCTTTATTCTTATCACTATTCTGCTTCACTTAGCAATAATAATGTAAGGAGAAATTCTGTCTTGGTCACTCATGGGAGTTAAAGGGTTAATAAATAATAGGGAATGTAGATTGAACTCAGTGGTGATCTTGGGATAGTGTATAGTATCTTGGATTATTATCTTTTTTCATGGAGGAGGGGGGATGTTGGTCAGACAAAAAGATACATGATGGTTTATGGCATTGGTAAGATGTAATAACACACACTAATGAGTCAGCATTCATGAAACTATATTGTATTGATCAGGAAGGATGAATACCTTTGAATCACTTCATGCAAGCTGTGCGCACAAGGCTGTACTAAACACTTGGAAAAAAAGCTCCAAGAAAATTCACCATGCAGCAAATTGCATGTTATGGTCCTAATGTGTAATATTTTTCTCAGGTTACTAAGAGCATGGATGGTGTGGTTAAAGGGTTAGATAAAGCTATGGCATCCATGGACCTGGAAAAGGTACTTTATTTACATTTTTTGAAAACATATGGTCACTCAAGGCTCCAAGGTCCCTTTTTCGAAAAGTCACCTTTTGGCAACCTTCATCTACAAAATGGTTGCCATAGATAACTATTTGGTTGCCAAAAAAAAATTGTGATATCAGTGGGAGTACACTTCATGCTGTGTCATTGTAAGTGTGATAATTCAACCAATCATCAATAGATTTTTCAATTTTTTTTCAAATCTGTTAGTTGCCAATTGGCAACTTTCACTGCAGTTTTGAGCAACAAATATATTTTTCTCACCATGGTGACCAAACTGGTCCCAACTTGGAGGGCTACCCAAGGGATTTTCATGCAAGTTACAGTACACTTTTGTTAAAGGGTAATATTTCTGTGTGAGCCCCCTGTTGGATTGTGTGAATATGGAGAATGTTTTAAAGAAGAAAATGCACCTTTACTGCTTAAATGCCATAATACTCGTGTGAAAATGTTGAGAAAAAACAAGCTATAAGCTAAGCTGTACCCCCAAGTAGTCAGCAATTTCCATCATTTTCCTCTTTGTTCTCAGAAGTCTCTTTCTCTATCTATATCTGAAGTGTTAACTCTTCTCACGTAATGGAAGTTATGGTTGTGTTGGCTTCAGTTGAAGATCATCCACATGAATGCTGTCTAGTCATAATATCATGATAACATTTGCAAGTATTACACCTCTAGTTCACATTACATCTTAAAACTAGTTCATCAGGATTTAATCTGCAATAAGTCTGATTTTAAGTGTTTCAATTTTTTGATCATGTAGATTTCAGCTACCATGGAGAAGTTTGAGGGCATGTTTGAAGATCTTGATGTTAATACTCAGGTAGAATTGAAATGTTTTCTATTGCTCCATTTTTCATCTTTTTAATATTTCATCGTTAAAAGAAGTTCTAGACTGAAAGACAATCATATTTGTTTCACATTACATGTGATACTGTTTTTCCAGGTCTTGGAAAATGCAATGGGAGAAGCAACTACATTGTCCACTCCTCAAGACCAGGTACTTCACATGTAGGCTGCTTATTTACCTGACAGAGAAAGCATTTTTATTGCAAATTTGTCCATGTAGTGCTTGATGAAATTACATTTTGTGTTGAAGCATGCAAAGTGTAAAGAGATGTCATAAACACTCTTATGAGCTCCCCAGTGGTTACTAACCATTAAACATTCTAATTTCTTTGTATAGTATCACAGGGGTATCAAAATTTTTGCTTATGAAAATGAAGAGAATGGATCTCGACTGAATGAGCTCTTGATGGTTTTATGAAATTCTCATAGTCAGTTAGATGGGAATGTGTAAAGAACAGTTTGGAGATTATGCCTACTGATGTTAGGTTGTTAAGATTTAATGACGATCAGCCAAGTTTGATCACCTAATCCCTGTATTAAACATCTCCACGTACATTTACTGTTGTTGATCAGGTTGAAGCACTTATTCAGCAAGTTGCAGAAGAAAATGGTCTTGAGATAATGAGTCAGTTGGAGGCTGTACAGCCTGGTACATCATCATTGAGAACTCAAGAGTCACAAAGAAGTCAAGGAGAGGAGGATCAGCTTAGTAAAAGGTGAGAAATGTTGTTATACTGGATCATTTTGTGCAGCTTTGAGCCTTAGTTGGGTTTTTGTGTTGCATTGACGAGAAGGAGGGTATGAGGTTGGTGAAGTGGGTCTGTGACACAAGCTACAACACATTTGCCTAGGAATGTTAAGTGTTGAGTAAGTTGTTAAGGGAACCTTGGTACTAATCTGCAGAGGCAAGAATTTTTCCAGAAAGATCAGCAATTATTTAGTCTTTGTGTTGTTAAATAAACTCTTGCTGTGTCTGTGCCCCCCCTCTCCCCCCCTTACTTGGCAAAGTACATGCCATTCACTAAGCAATGTGAATCATAAATGCAAGCCTGTCTGGAAGATACATTGCATTACATAACTGCACAATAGTCTAATATCAAATTTGCCTTGCTCCCAAAGTGTGGCTATGTAGCTCAGTTGGCAATAGTGCTCAACTTGTATTTAGGAGGCATGGGTTTGAATCCTACCAAAGCCTGGATTTTTCAGGCGTCCTTTCTTCAATAGCTGTAAATTTAGTCCATCAGTGAGGATCATTTCTCTGCTTAATTTTCATATGTAGGTCAAACAGAATTTATTACTTTAAAAATTGTGATTGATATCATAGCGATATACAGATTGCTTATCTCATGAACCTAGTTCAATGAACCTCGAAGTCTACTGTACCTCAGAGATAGAGAATATTAATTTCTTATGGGAAGGTTAAGTTAATTGTGACTTTTTTATATTATCCTAGACTGGCTTCTCTACGCAGTTAATGGATATCTGAAGGAAGAACACATGACTATTAATCTCAATTTATACCCTTCAAGTGTATACAAGCAGAAGAAGTTAGTTAAAGGCGTCACAGACTCGAGGAAACTGTCTAGGTAATCACAGCGGTCAATTGTCTACGCATGTGCATACGATGACTTTCTTGGTGAAGCTCAAAGCGAAATTGTAATGTTCAGAGAAAACCCAAGCATTACTTTTCCCTACTTTTGTCTCTTTACGGGCTTCCAAAGTCTTTTTTTTTCTTTTTTGGTTAGTTTTTCGTGGTACGAGCCCTTTCTTGTGTTTTCCTTGAAGATTTTACGCGGGAAGTTGATACGCGGCTGACCAGAAGTGATTCATTTATACATGCTCGACGCTTGACCGCTGTGTTGCTGTGTTGTCTGAGCAAGATGTACATATGTTCCTTGGAAATGTATCAAAGTTTTATAAGGTGCTGAATGATTTAAGAAAGTTGTCGGTCTACACAGTTTTGAAACCTTTTTGATGTAGCTAGATAGTTACTAAATAATATTTAATTAACTTTGAATTCAAAGACGTGTAATGTTCCTTCTACAACTCTAGAAAACTTATATCACGGTAGATGGGGAATCAGAATTAAGTAAATCTTTTTACCTAAATGAGGTATTTTCTTGATGTGAACAAACTCTCATAACTGTTATGCAAGGATATGTATTACATAGAGATGAGAGAATTCAAATAATGAGATTTTACTGGACAAAGGGATGAGAGATTATGATCCAACGGAGAGGAGTTAAGGGACGAATTTGAAGTCCACATCATAGATGGATTCCATACTGTCACACTAGTAGTCCATTTTACAGTTGTGTGCTTGGTTGCCAAGCCTTTGAACAGGAGTGAGGCTAAGGATGACCTTGTTATGATACAAACCTAGCTGCTTTTCACATGAAAATTACTGTTATCACGCTAACTAGATACTGGTCTCTACCACAATAAGGTCACCTTCAGCCTCACTTCAAATCAAAGGCTTGGCAACTAAGTACACAACTGTAAAATGGCCTATTGAGCTCCAGCTTCTCCCTAAAATAATAATGTACAATCTAACAACTTCCCTCGTGTACTAACTCTGTGTGGATACTCTGTTGATACTCGGCGCTTTTATGGCCTGAAATGAGTTACGTCACTAAAAACCAAAAGAATGGTGGAGAGTGGAAAAGAGTAACAGCAACTTACAATAAGGAAACATTAGAAATAAACTTTTTGAGATGTACACCTTGTGACTTAACAAGAATTGCTTCTCAGCTTTTGAATTACCTGGTTATACTCAAAACAAAGAGTCGTCGTTTATCGTAACTTAAGTAACACCATAAAACCGGAATGATGAAGTCGAAGCTGTCTTCATTCACCTCAGTTACTCATCTATTCCGTTTGGAGTATTTAAAAATACCTTAATCTTTCTTGGCTGCGCCCCGCCTTTTCTCGCCATTTTCTTGAAACCATTTTTCTGCTCAAACGAGCTCTTTCGTGTCACTGAGCATCAATGACTTTCCAATATTTTAGATGGTTTGGTTTTGTCAACTGAGCCGATAATGTTAATTGGCTACCGTAAAGAGTTTTTTAAGCTTGCGTCTCAAGCGTCTGCCTTTCGTCAGAGCGATTGGGAGAATTGAGAGTTTTGTAGTTCTAGAATCTAAGATACTTGCGGAATTTAAGAACCTAGAGGTTAGAAAGTAAGGCACTGGTACTGGCTAATTCTTTTCTTTTTTTTTTACCGTGTTTACGGTCAGGTCAACCAACTTTTAGTCACCGTTCTGCAGATAAGTTCATGCGCTTTTTTTACTCCAGTTAATTTGGCTGCTAATTCTCAACTGATGACGAAGGAGAAGCATTAAGAGGGGTTTCTGAGATATTCAACGAATCTTTGTGAAAGAGAGATACGTAGAAAAGTTTTAATGACACTTGCAGAAAGTGCTCTTGCTGTTACATTTTTAGCAGAACTACTTCATTCTGTTAAAATAAAACTATAAAATTCCAAGAATTTGCTGATTCGCTTTTTGTCAGTTATATTTCAACACGTCACGGTGAGTAAGTACCAAGCAAGTCTTCTAGATTTCCTTGTTGTGCGAAATATCAGACTTGCACATGAATAACACAGTGATATCAATTTTATTTTTGCAGACTGATACAAAGGTCAGAGTACAATTTTAAATTAAATTAACACGCATTGGACACACTAAATAATCTTCTATGTGTTTTTTCATGATTATTTAAGTCTTGTGAAGTGTAGTAGTTAAGGTTCAAGGTTAATGGCTGCACCTCTAACCAAAATAGCCAATAGAGCTTCACATCATTAGTTATCGTTGATAGTTCAAGCAATATCGTTCTAGGTATCTAGCCAGAGCTACTTCACTGTTGTTACCCTAGTCCAAAAATCTTTTAGTTGACTTTTCAATGACTTAAGCACTCGATCGTTGAATGTTATGTTGTTATCATTCATTCCATCATCAGCCAACAATTATAGATGATAGTAACAGTAAAGTGTGGTAATGTTTTGTGCGAATTCTTAATGAACTTACAATAAACGATCAAGCTTGAAGTGTTGATAAGCGGAAAAAACCCATATTTAGGTTTAAAATGTATGTGAAAAGTTGTTCTATCGAGGGTTACCTCAGTGGTGTAATTCGTCAAAAGCACACAACAAAGTAGGAATTAAAGATTGGTGTGGGTGATTTCACGGAAAATTGATAAACTTTTTGACTAAAGAATGAGCGAAGAATTCAAATGCTGCAGGAGGCGTAACCAAGTGCTGCGTGAAAATTCTGGATTGCTCTTTTAGTTCAAGCTAAGTGCTGACATTACATGGCGACGAACTTTGAAAGATCAACGACAGCAGTAGCGTAAAATTGAAGTAATAGTTATCATGTAGGTGTCTTTGGGACAGCGCTCGATGACAAGCCGCTGTTCGGGGATGAGCCTACGATCTTGATCGAAAAGCGGCGAAAATTTAGGTTTCTCTGAAATAACAGTCCAAAGTTCATGTGCTTTGGAGGTAAAAAAGGGAGCAATCCTTGTTGTAATGTTTCACTGTCTCAGATCATTGACGTAAAGGAAATGTCATGTCAGAGTGTCAGAGTAACAGAAACAGGAAGGTAATTAACTAAACGCACTTTGCAGCGTACGTCGTAAGTGCCTCCAAATTTCCTGAAACGTTATCTGTTTTGCCTAATTTTTTTGTATATTTTAGTGGGTTGTTCAGATCTATTTTTGAAATTCCCTTCCGCCACGTGGCTGGTGAAGCTTTGCCTATTTCGTTAACAATTTCCATGTGAAATTACCCTGTAAAGCAAACACGTCAGCTGGTCAGTTATCGAAGTCGCCCCAAGGCAGATAAAGTTGTTTTTTCGAATTTTATTCATTTCTTAATTTGGGAGATCGAAAATTAAGAGAGTTCTCCCATCATCACCTTAGATAAACACCTTTTTCATTCCAAGAAATTTCGATCCGGCAAACCCTTTAAAAAGATCACAGTAAGAACCAGCATCCACAGATCCACGTGTAGTTAACTAGAGATCTTGAATATAAGAGTGATAGGGTGATATTGCAGTTAGATGTGGTTAACCTCAACAATTTTCCACTAATCTTTCAATAAATATCATTAGGAAATTAGCTCCGACCAGTTGGTTGTAGACCAGAGTTCAATTAAGTAACTCAAAATTTTTCTTCCCCGAATTTCCATCACATTTTTCCTACTTACCCTTCTTTTTCCCTTCTCTAAGGACACGTCACTGACTTGGAATCTTTAAATTCTTGCTTAAAGTTTGCTCTTCCTGTTACATTATTTTGCTGCGTTACTATACCAACCTTAAACATAACTTCCGGTATACGGAACTAAACGCTTGAGCAGTAACGGTCCTTTCCAATTTCAATTGAGTGGGAGAGCATAACAGGTTTATTTAGTATTATCAACTGAGTTGAAAACGTAAATTGGCCACCGTAAAGAGTTTCAAAGCTGACGTTTCGAGCGTCAGTCCTTCGTCAGAGCGAATGACGAAGGGCTAACGGTAAAAACGTCAGCTTTGAAACTCTTTTCGGTGGGCAATTTATGATATTAACTCAGTTGATATTACTAAATTACCCTTTTATATTTGAGACAGTCATTCCATGGCACTCGAGAAAAAAACCTGCCTCTGACAACAGATTTGTGGTCAGCCTCGAGGGGGCAGTTTAATGACTTCCACGTTTTCAGATCGAGCAACAATGACACTCTTTGAAAGCGATCATGTTTGTCTAAATCGATTTCGAATGACAAAAATAACAGATTTTAAGGGGGGTCAGTTTTTAAAGAAACTTTTATGCTGCGTCGGTGTAAATTCTTCGTTCTGACGAAGGGCTAACACTCGAAACGTTAGCTTCGAAGTTCTTATGGTGCCCAATTTACGTTGACAACTCTGTTGATAATCCCAAATTACGTCAGAGAAAAATTTAGCCTAATTTTTTCACGATCTTTAACCGTGACGTAGTTCAGCGAAGTGCTAATTGTAATATTGTGTGAAGACTGTTAATATAAACCTAGTAAAGGTAAACCATGGATCATTTTGCTAAACGACCATTTATCACTCTTGCCATTTACTTGATAAGTGATGATAAATTCTTAATTGTAAACCACGAGAGTGAAACCTGTGAAACAATTTCCTGTTTATAAGTGATATTGTGAAAACTTTCGATTAGTTTCGAGTTCAATCAATACTTTACAAGTGGAGGAACCTGTCTTTTAATCTTCATCCGCTCCGTTTTAAAAATTGATCTCAGTCTTCCACCACGGATCTCCAAGTCGGCCTATTTTTCCTATTTCTGTCCTATTCCAAATGCAGCTTCCCATTTACTCCTTTTCCAATAACCTTCAAAAACTGTTCAATCCCCTTCGGAAACAAACAAAAGAAAACAAAAACGGGAGAGAGCACTTTTATTCCAAAGAATTCTCTTATCCTAAATGCGCGTGTGATTATCTTGGAAATGTAAATCACTTCTAATGCAGAAGGTAACAAGAAATATTTTGAGTGGACGTATGGTCTTAGTCTCGTGCCAAGACCCTACACAGCCAAGCGTCGCGTACCTAGACCTTCCACGGCCTAGCGGTCGTAAGGTCTTTACATTTCAGTCGCAGTTAAACAGTAGGATCTTGGTAGGAGATTAGTATAGTCCTTAAATGTACGGGTGGGTGGGTGGTTCAGTCCTTTGCCACCTCTCCAGCTCCTCCCCTCCGTTTTCTTCATCCTCTGGCATACAAACAACCAAAACACGTTACTGATTGTGAGGGGTAAGATCTTTTAATGAAATTATTGCAAATGCACACCTCCAGGATGTTGAAAATATCCCTCTTATTCTTCACATTTCTTGATAAATTATGAGAAGTTGTCATAGTTATTCTTATTCACAGCGGGGCCGGCTCCTGTCTTAATGCCTTAGTTTGTTATAGGTACTCTTCAAATTTTTTTCGCGACAACATTTTGCGGCAGTAAGAGGAAAGGGAGACAAATCTAGGAAAACAGGATTATCCCATAGTTTTTATCGAGGCATTTATGCATGCCTTCTCAGCCTGTAAGAATGTTCTGGCGAAGTTTCAGACTTCCGCACATTTCTACAGTCTCTCCTTTGCCAAATCCGGTGAGAAGAAGAGAGATCCTGGGAACCAAGACAGCGAAGTTGCATTTCTCTAACGGTCTGATCGAAGTCGTGCTTGGTTAGAAGCGTCAAACGAATTCCATGTGACGCAGTTTGAGCCTCTTCCTATCCAGCCACATATCTGCCTCGCTTTTGACGTTGTTAGCTTGGTGACAAAATTAAAGTGCTTCTTGCCGTCGGGAAGCTTGACGATTCCAGACCCCGAAAGAACACCTACTATCACACGGTCTTTCCCGGACCCCTTTAGCTTGGTTCTAACGTAAGTCCCAGCCCCCGAACTTCCTCTAGCGGCGTCACATCTACAAATTAGCAAATTGGCATTCGCCCGCGTATTACAGTGACTATACCACATTGTGTTTGATTTCTTGTCACCGGGAAAACTTGCGAAGTGAATCTTGTATTGTGGACCTGCCCTATTAATCACTCCGAGCTTGAAAAAGGGTCTTTTGTGAGGTTTTATCAACTTAATTACTGCATAGTCAAAGTTTGATGAATCGGAATTACGGCGCCAGCTTTCCGGAAAATTGACTTTAACCACACGAATCCAACGGAATTTTCCATTGCGTCGCAGAACTCCTACTCTCAGATTGGCCATGTCTGTCAGCGGCCGCTGACCATCGTGAACGCAGTGCGCTGACGTCAGAACGTGAAACGGAGAAATCAGTGATCCTGAACATTCGAAAGAACCTGCTGCAATTTTGACATATGGCGAAAAAGGAAATTTCTGAGCGAGAGTAGAGGTGTTTAATCTAATGCGACCGTCACGCCCAAAGATAATTCTCTTGAAGCGACGTTGCTCAAAAGTTCGGGAAAAGTTTTGATAACTTTCCTCCAGAGATGAGGACAAAAGTTCGGGCTCACCAATTACTGAGTCATCTCCTAACACGTGTTGAGTTTCAGATCTGTTACCTGAGTTGAAATGATCTAAATCACGAACAGAGAAATTTGTAAATGTTACCGAGCCATTGTGCCAAATCGTTTGGTAGCTAAAGTCGGTGAGATCTTCTTTGGGATCATCGAAGGACACTGTAAAAGGAACATTTTTCAAGAAACCGTTGCTGATGGTTTTCGTTTCGGAAATCGTGGTGGTCTTGTTGCCACCAAAGTTGCCGCCTGATTTCTTTGAGCTAAGAAATCTTATGGCTTTTTGAGGCTCCTTCGTTTTTTCCGGGCGTTCCAACGCAGCAATAACTTCCTCGGCCAAATAAACTCTCAGCAACAACGCAACAATTATGACAGTTTTCCAAGAAACGAAGCTCCTCATTTTCCCTATCTCTTGTCTCTTTGAGGTATTCTTCCAAGTGAGCTGTTAGAGTCTGTGTCTGTGATCTTGTTTTGATGTTTTTATATGCATATGATTGCGGTTATTACGCAAAATTTTTTCCTTAAAAAGCACAAAGAACAAGCTCAATCTCGTCAGTCCGATATTCGAGAGACTTCACGGAGATCGCAGGCGAAAGAGCGAAAGAATTACTAAATATTCCAAAATAACGCACACGCGTCTAAGAGCCTTCTTAAAAATCTATACCGTAACAGTTTCGCACATACGTAAACTCATGAGTAAAGAATTGTTTTTGGTAAGAAACAACTTGTTTTTCAAAGGTTCATGTCGGCTCTTTAGATCTTGATAACTTTTTAAAAAAAATGCTCAGTTTCCTAAAAAGTACACATTAACAATTTATTAAAAAAATATTCGTGAGAATTTAACCTAAAAGCTTCCTCCATCTGCTCTCTCACGGTCCTCGGTTTAATTCACTTGTTCCACAGGCGTGGGTTTGTAGGTCTACGGACCAAATCAGCGCCTGTTTAAGTGAAACCGCAGCGTCCAATTTGCGACTTCGGTGTGGGCTGCAATTGTGTGATGAAACAAAAAAGAAAGTTCTTTTTAACCTCAAATGAAATATGTAACAGGAATAAATTAACAAAGGGAGCTGGAAAAGCATTGTTTCTAAAGGCGTTTTTTTTTTCACGGGTCAGCTCTTTTAGAAAAGGAAAAAAATTAGTCTTTAATTGTACCGCGTTTTATCTTTGTAACAACTTAAAAAACCTTGAAACGCCTGACTGGCTTAGCTCAAGTATTTTGTTATTATTTGGCAAGAGAGGACTTTTCAAAGAAAAACAACGGATGATTATTGCTATGATGTCAAATTCCAGAACATTTCCAAAGGAATTTTGGTTGTCGGACTACCTAATGTGGACGAGGAAAAAATCAACAGTTATGAAAATGTGAAACTTCCCATTACCCTTCAGATGTGCTTAAATATCAGTGCTCGACTAATACATGATTTACTTCGTTAATTTTGACATAATGCCAATGGAATATTAAACTGTGGGAACTGTGTTACGCACAAAATATATATCAGTAGTCTCTGATTTTTTCTCCTGGATATGTAATTTCCGGAGTCTTAAAGACTAACCTCAAACAATATGACGCATCATAATGTCAGCTATTCAGTTAATGCTATTTTAATTTTGTGCTGCGTCAATACCTTTAACAAGCAGTAAACTGAAATTACGTCTGAATAGAAACGGAGGTACTAAATTTTTTTTTTAATCAAAATTGATAACTTCCATGTGCGAATTTCGTGATTTGAAAAAAATGGCTGAGTCGCCCACGACGGTGAGAATGAAATTCATTCAAGCCACAATAAAAGAAATATAAATAACGAAATGATAAACGTTAACAATAATCCAATGGATTGTCTAGACCCACTCTTGATAATCTTGAAAAGATTGAGCCTTCTTCGAAAGGGAGTATATCAGAAAGTTGTGTCTAGATTTCTGTGTCACCTAGAAACTCTTTGTTTACGGCTAACATTTCCTAGAGATCGCAAAGAAAGTTTTTCTGTAGGAGCAAGTTCCTTTATCCCGCCCGCTATTTCCCGCTTATTGTCTGTGTAATGTTTACAAATTAGTCTAAGAGAGCGTTAGTTTTCTCTGACAATAAAAGGAGGTAATCCTTAGCGAGTGTGTGTCGCCATGTTGCCGCTTGATCCAATACACGAGTGGACCAAACGACTTTGGAGAAAGCTGTGGCACTCAAAACAAATTGCGGTGTCCTCTTTCTCTTGTTAAACCTGACCAGTTTTATCTAACGATTGTCCTTTGACGTCATAAAAGAAACTCAGTGGCTTAAAAACAGACGAACTTGGAATTCACTGTAAACATTCCTGTCCGGCAAAAAAAATTAGAGGCTAAATTCAACTTTCAAGAATACTTCGACCCCATGCTTGCGTCATTTTTCAAATGGCTAACACCCTTAGTTCTTCATTAAAATTATGTCTCCTTCGTGGAGATAGAATTTTCTTACATCAAGATTATATTTCTTTTCTTTTTGTATGACTTATTACGTGCGCGGATGAGAACACATATTCGACGAGGAATTTAAAATTGTTCTAGAAAACTTCCAAACTGAGATCAGAAGTGTTGATAAGAAAGTACTCCTTGTTGTCAAGATCTACATGCACAAAGTTCAAGTGGTCAGTTTTCGCCCAATCTTGATCAAGGAGTTGGAAAGTGGGTTAATGGTGTATATACCTTAAGTCAGAGACACTCTTAATCGTCAGGTCACCACGCATTTACGAAAGAATCGATGTTGGTCATGATCATTTAAGGAAAGATATGTCACTTGGGAATAAGTACATGTGACTGCGCCAAAATATGGAAACATGTATTCATGGAAAAATCCTAGATATATGCTGATTTCACTTCTAGTGTTTCCTTTTTTAATGGAGTTCAACTGTTTTTAACGACCTCGAGCTCTTTCTCATGCCTTGACTGAAAAAGTAACTCTGAGTTGCAACGTTTGTTATAAGCTATTAAGCCCTCGCTTTATAACATGATAAAAAGTGATGCTATATCAAACGCACTCCCCAATTGATTACACTCTATGTCTTCAGATATCAGTCTCATTCGTTTGCTAAGTTCAGTCACCCAACACCATTCACCACCATTTCTCGTCGTCCTTGAAGCACAGATGAACAATAGATTAGCTCATAGGTATTAGTTATATTAACTGATTGTAACGTTTACTACGGTTTCAAAACCTGCGATTCGAACACGACTTGCTGGGAAGACAACGTTCATTCCTAGTGTTCACGGTCTAAAAGGCTTTACTGAGGGTGCTCTATAACTTTTTGCGGCTGCGCGGGTATCAAACGCTCTTGAATTTAAACCCACAATCGATGTTTAATTACCTTCTATAGATAACATTAAGATGCATTCTAAAACCCCTTGATAGCACACTGAAGTAAACAACATGCTCTATCTCAGACCTGCTATTTTCAAAAAGTCTCTGATTATTATCGCATACCAAGTTACGAAATTGAAGTCACGATATCATTAACTTTTTTAGCGTCCCCTAGTAGGGGGTATACCTCAAAATAGAGACAGACTTTAAAATATCACTCTGTTAGAGCTATAGCTAGAGTAGACTGCCCCTAAGGTCGAAATAATTTTTATATTCTATACTTTTATCATCTTCGGGATCATTTACTTTCAAGGCCGGCGACCTTGACTTTTAGAAATTCACAGCTACATATTCCTGTGGTTGTTTTCAGGTGAGCTACTATTTGGTGATTTATAAGATATCGTTTGATAAATCTAAGAACGAACTGATTCATTTACCATCGCAATTTTTCTCATTTTAAGCGGTTAATAACCAGCATCAGATTTGGTGAGTTCAAGGTCTGTCTCTCAAGTCAGAATTGTTGCGAAATCGTGGTTTTATCTACGCTCTCCATCGCACCATGTCCGGAAATGTTTACAACATCTGTCGCGTACCCTCGCTTGCCCCTGGAAACATCGCCGGAAGAGATAGAATGTATCTAACAAGTCAATCCAACACTGACCACCTCCTACATGCGTGAGCTGCTGTTACTAATAACTTATGTTATGTTCAGATTTCCGCCGGTATCAAGAAATCGTGGCGAGCACCCAAAAAGCTCCTCTTTAAAATAACGGTTGCAGGAGTTTCAAGGAAACGCTTTGATTGTACTCTACTTCCCATTAAAACGTGATTTACATTGGGTGCAAGTTAATTAATCCACGCATAACTTTCACAACGAGCTTTCAAACTTTAAAATGGTCTTACATCGACAAATATTACAGTTTTCAATCTAGCGTAAAAACTTACGATCTGTTGCTCCCTCCGATTTGCCCGCCTACGCGATCGTGCTCTCTTTAAGTTACAGCCATGGAAATTTTATCAGCCCCTCGGGAGCTTATTAAAATATTTACAACATGTTTACGTTTTGAATTTCGTCTCTGTCCGCTAATTTCAGTCGCCAATCTGTCTCTGTACTTAACATCTCTCCTTGAGGAGTTTTCACAATACAATCACTAAACTCTGTTAGGGCCCGTTACACTCTAAGAATCCTTAATGATGTAAAGCGATTAACTTTCTCTCGTTTACCGTCAAGAAAGTTTTGTTCCGCAACAGTTTAGCCAACAGTAAAAACAAATATAGAGAGAGAAGTTTGGAGCAGATTTAGCATTGTCGGATTACTTTTTGTCAGTTTGTGGAGCTAAAAAATAAAGAAAACAAAAATAGCAAAACAAGAACCAAAGGTAAAGCCGACCAAACAAAACAGCCTCACGATTTTGGCGTATCATGAACTTATCGGCAGTTGTTTGCTGCTTTTTGCTCCGTTAGATGTGTGTAATTGAAAAATTTAGTTTAGTTTTCAGATATTAAGAAAGTTGTCCACACAAACTAATTATGAAGCTAGATATTTATGACGAAGAACAAAGCGCAACTCAAATGCAATTCATAACACCACTTGAAAATTGACATTAATAATAAGTCTTACACAAGAAACTGCAAATGTCTCTAATGCAAACTTCAAATCACAATCGCAATCAATATTAAATTATTTGTCTTTTAAATACTTTCAGAGATTCATTACTTGGATTCCTGATTTCGTAGATCTGTGCATTTAGAGTTCTTTCCAGATACGTGTTACAATTTTTAAGTGACATCGTTTGGGCTGTTTTCAGAGGCATCATTACAGAAAATTGCCGTGTATATACGTGTCGCCTGTATACACGTTCCTGTCGTTTGGTAATCATTGTGTGTGTCATTGTCAATTGAGTGTCCAAAGTAACCCGAGATTGCATTGGTCTTGCTTTACTTTGCTCTGCGATTGGTCCAGAAAACTCGAGCCACCCTCTCCATTAATCAGTTGCAAAACCAAAAACAATTATGACTTAGTCACCCGCGTTTTCCCGCCCTTTACGAACTTTGCGTTCTCATTGGTTTCTTCTGACTGGCTGTTGTGATTACTTTGGTTTTAGTTTTGTTTCGAAAAGCGCATTATTTTCGATACTTGCTCGAAAATGGATGTGTGTCAACGTGCCCTCTTGATATCATCAAGAGAAAATAAGGATCCCCTTAATATATTCGTTTGGTGTCATATATGATTCCGGCACAAGCGAAGTTTAGTATTACTGGTCGGAGTTCAGTTTGTCGCTGGATATTTATCGAGCTCCGAAAAGAGAACCAGCAAACATCGACAATTTAATTTTTTAAGGGAATGGTTGGCTTGTTATTCGTAAATTGGGCGCTTTCTTCTAATTGAGTAGGTTTTAGACGAACAATACTAGAAACTCACAATTGCGTTATTATTAGCTCTGGTTAGATTTGTCGAGTCTTAATCCAACTAAACTCAAGCTCAATCTCTCACTTTTCAGGAATATTGTTTAACAATAGAATATAAGCTGCTTGTGCCATGCAGACGACTCACAGCATTTCAAATATTAAAATACCACTGTATGACAAACGACTCCGCTCCATTTTTTTATTTCATGTTTTTTTTTTCGTATTTTTGAGTTAAGGAAAGTTTATCTTTGGAAACATTGGCCTATTTCCATGCTTTTCTCCAGACGACCGATACTATTTCAAGTCATAGTTACCAGTGGATATCTAGATATACACAAGAATAATTTTTTTGACATCTCTACCTATGTCAAATATTGAAAGTATTAATAAATTCGTCCGATAGTTCTTGACATGTTGCCAATTAATTGTCACTAATAGGGCGCAGGAACTCAGTAATGGAAATATTTCGGAGGTGTTTTGACAAACGTTCTTTCTGTTAAGGAACCAACGCACTTCTCGCAAATAGTAGGAAATATAGGTTCTTTTGTTGTCGTCTGGCCTTGTTATTTTTTACGTAGGCCTCCATTTAAACCAGATTTAAAGCTGAGCCGGGCCTGCCTGTATAAATATCATAAATGAATAAATAAATAGATAAATAAATTATCTATTTCTTCTTCATTTGTTTAGAACTGCATTTATTGCATTGTTAATTTAAGTCTGGCTTTTATATTATTTCCTAACTCTCTAAATCAGTGGTGTCAGATTAGTTATAATGCATTGGCCCTCTTCCCTCCTAAATTCAGTCATTCCTCAATAAAGAGTCGAAAAACCTCCCCACTTATTTGTAAATTTGCTTTAATTTGGGTTATGAATTGTCTCGTCCGATGTGTCATACGAAAAACGTCTTTTGATCTAACGGGTCTAAACAGACAGTTTGGTCTTTCAATATCCAATTAGCTCATGAGTCAAGGCTGTCAACAACCAATCAGATTCGCATATTTTGGTGTTGACGCAATTATGAAGAAATCGGTATTTATATACAGTGCTTACAGCTCAAGGGCCTGTGTGACCGGGAAAATTAGTGAAACAAAGAGTTCAAGTGGAAGATTACAAGGCTAAAAGTCATAAGTAGCAGAGCGCAAACCAGTCGGCCAATGAACAGCGTGGGTCAGGACCCGAAATGCGGGTGTCGTACCAGGGCGAATTAACGTTACAAGCGCACGATCATTATCTGGGATGCCATGTTTGATTAAGAGTTAGAGTGGATGGTGGGGGGAGGGGGCAAGAATTTCTATCACCCCATCCCTCCTCTCTCCTTCGTTTTGACCTTTGATTTCTTTCTCCTCCCAGCCTTCCCAGCCTGTAAAAAGCAGAGAGGGCGGCTATGATTTCCACTAGGAAAATACTGAACACTTGCCTGCCAAAATTATGCCAGCACCGCAAGCTACTCGAAATCGAGACCTCCTGGACGACAGTCGTATTCTCTGTAAATAATTCGGTCACGCCATCTCCTTAGCAAGGAGGAAGCTAATCTTACTATTCAGTCACAAACCTTTGTCTGGTTTTTCCAAACAGATTACAAAACCCTGCCGTAGCGCTGTACGTAAGCAAGATTAAGATGACATCCAGGGGAAGGAGAGAAAAGGCTACTTCCCGCGAGTGTTCTCGCCGGTATCTTTCGTCGCAAACGCGTTTTGAAACTCGTACCCACGCTTGATACGGGGGCCGTGAAGCATAATACTAATATAATAAATTTGTATGGTGCGTTGACTAGTTGACTATGACGTGACCAATTAGTTTTCTAACAAAAAAAGAATTAAATGTAACAAAAGCAACAGTTTCTCATATAATGAATTAATTAATAACTTGTCGAATGGGATTATTTAAAACAACGATATTTTGAGAGGAATGATGCGGAGTGAGAGTTCTTGCATATGTCATCTAAAACTTTCTGGAAGTGTTTATATGAAAAGACCCGTCCCAAGCCCTTCGTAAGATGAGTGAGTAAGAGAAAAACCTGAAAGACTGGGTGAATTTCTCTCATTAACCTCATTAACCGAGAACCTGAACCATTTTATTGTTTATATTTATTAGCAAAGTATGTTGTTATATAAATACAACTTATTTGCCATTCATTTTGACTAAGTTAAATTCAGTTAAATAAGCTAATATAATATTATTCTTGCTCTGAATCTTCCTCGTGGGAGCAGCCGATAGTATAAAAAGAGAAGTCTGTTGTATAAGTTAAAGAAAATCTAACTAATATTTGAGTTAACGATTGGCAGTTACATAACAACAGTTAAAGATTGATAACTAGCTCGTAGGAATTGACAAAGTCCTTTCCGCGTAAATGCATGTTGAACGTATATGAAACGTTCAAAGCAGAAGTTCATTGACTCTTAAACCTCAAAATGCTGAGCTTCCGCGGACAATAATTACGAAACGTTTTTCTTAAAGCTTAAATGCAGTGGATGCCCTAAAATCAGGTGTCTGTTGGGGGACCACTATTACACGTGCCTTGAGTTTGCGTGTTGCTATGAGTTATACCACAGTGCTCAAGACACCTGCGAGAGTCATAACATCATCCTCTTTTTCCCTAGAACAACCTGGAACATATGCGGTGGCTATGTTAGCTTTGTTGTGAAACCCATGGAATTTAGGCACGAAGATTACATTACATTCCGAAATGGAATTTAACCATGCAGATGGAAAGAAGATTAAAAAAACACGCAACCGGAATGTATTGAAGGAGTTTGGTCCCAATCTACTCGCGTACATCTGATTTTAGAATATCTACTTCATATAAATTGCCTTCGTCTAACACATGCGTGTTTGGATGTCCGAATTCGAGGCTCGCTGGTAAATATTTCCCGTACAAATAAGTAATCTTTTTAGACGTCTGTCCTTTAGATGTTCCATTGCACAACTGAAAGATTTTCAAAAGAATAGCTGATTGATAACGTGGGGTATCACAACCCTATTGCCCTGTACAAAGAAAAAATTTCGTGACTACCATTTCCACGAAAACGGCCGTTACTTTAAAGTTTCCATAGCTTCTCCTTTGAGTTGATTAAGAGCTTTCTTTGTTTCTAATGGTTGGGAGAGACAGGCATTTTGGCTTTTTGGTCGATTGAACCTTTATGTCTTCTTGGAGGCAGACCCATCCAGGCACGAATTTGCGCTAGCTTTAGAGGTGTAATCTTCGTGCCTATGTTCATGAGACGCATTTTTCCACGAAACCGTACGCGGCTTCCCAAACCAGTAAATACTCCGAACACGAACCGTTCTACTACTTTACCTTTCCTCATCAGGGCGTAGATTCCTGCACCAGAGCTTCCGGCGTTAGAATCGCAGCGATTGATGATGGCATGATTACGACAATGAGCTGCACAATTCGAGTACCACAGAGTATTTTGTTCTTTGTCGAAGGGAAAAGAAGCGAACTGGATTTTTATTCGAATGTCCAGGGCGGCAGGAATTTCATACATGCCTAGGAATTCATTGTTGTGCGCCCGTTTGAGTCTTATGACGGAATAATCGTAACGGTAATCGCGAGAGAGAGTCCATCCTCGCGGAACTTTGACGAAGTCGACTCCAATTTTGATGACCTTTCCTTGATGCCTCAAGACGAGCACCTTCAAGTGCTTTACATCGACGAGGTAATTCATGCCATCGTGAACGCAATGTGCCGCTGTCAGCACATGGTATTCTGAGATAAGGGTGCCTGTGCAGCCAGTAGATATCCTCACCACCGCAGAGTATGGAAGCCGTCTCGAATCGACGTAGCGGACTTTAATTCGATCATCTGGACCAAATACAGCTCTTTTTCGCCGATGACGCCCCATGTTAGGAGGATCGTTGACAACGTCAAAGTCACTGGGAACCACATCGGGTACTTCTAGCTCAAAGTCTGCCATCTTGCTCCATACGTCGTGAGTTGCGTTTCCTATCCCCTCGACCTTTTTAAGCTCCACTAAGGTGAGTGTCAAACTTCCATTGGACCAAAAGGTTTCATAGTTGAGCCTTGGTAAGCTGTCTTTAATGGAGTCATTGGCTGATACAGTTAATCCGTCGAAATCCAGCTCATTAGAATTAGTATAGTTCCACCCAAGTGAGCTGGTTTGGTTGGTTCTCTGCAAAGAGGTGATGTTCACGTCTTGGATGTAAAAGCTAAGAGGTGGAAAATCGTCGTCCATCACGTCATCTGGTATTTTGTGCGCTTGTTTGTTCGACACATTATCACCTCCTTTTGGAGAAGAAGTGAATGGCACACGCTTAATCCTTTGTCGAGACGAGAAAACAAGATCAGGAAATTGTAGAGCTGAACACAGCAAACTCGCGACAGCGAAATATTTTACCAAAGTCATTTTACCCGCGCTTCGACTGATTTGGTGAGAGGTGAAGAACGTTGTATTCAAAGCTTGATACTAGAGAAATCTGCTAATGAAATAAAACAGATTAAATAAATTTTAGTACCACGTAAATTTTATACCCACGTAAAACCACAAAACGAGAACGGTCTCTTTTATGAATATTTAAAACAACCAACCCAGAACGCGACAGCTGGGGAAAGCTGAAATGTCTACCGCTGTGAAATTTCTGAGTATCACATATTGAATTTTCTACACTTGAAACGATGATCCATGGAATTATCCGAACAATGTTGGATAACCTCCTTGTAAGGGGATTTCCTTTTCTTTTGTTTTAAATCAGAGAAATAGAAATTATTTGTTGTTGCTTTATATCCTCCGTTCAGCCTAGTTTACGCTAGCCAACTTCCTGTAATTAACGTTAGCTTATCAATTTGCACCAAAAATAGAAGTCGTACAGATAGAATCTCGATATCTCGATATATCAGAAAAAGTTTTTAATAAACTGACTTATCTTAATTATTCATCTAAGGAACTAAAAATGAATTATTGAAGTGGTCTACTTCCTTTTCCCATACAGCTGCATAAGAAAGTACGAGAGAAAATTTGTTCAAATTTTTTTTCTTTTTTCGATTGTGGTGACGTGCGCGCTTTATGTTCATGAATGAGATATTTGGCATTTATAAATACATCTATAACTTCCATAACACAACAAGGCAACTATAATCTTATTTGATTTGCCGTTAAGATTCTGTCTTCATTCTGAGATAATTTGGTACTCATAATGAAAGCAACAGGAGTCAAAAATCGTAATAGCTGTGACATAAGTAGACCATTTTTCTAATTTATTAACACAACAAGAACATTTGCGTGAAGTATCCACTATTTGATATCAGTGGACTGGTACTGATCACAAATAACTTGCCTGACTGATGCTATTGTAACTACAACGCTTCCAATAGACTTTGTTTTATCATATCGTATATTCAGTTCTCCGGCTTTGAAATCCTAATGTAATTGCAATTTCTCGGCCTTAACAACAAAACCTAATGTGGGTTGATTTCTGTTTGTGGTGATTTCAGCCCGCCTGCGTAAATCGTTCATGTTCACATAGTTGAACTGAAGTGTAAGAATCTCCCCTCCGATTATTTTCCAAAACGAAAACATACTCTAGTGTGGCCAACTGGGGTTAAAAGTCAGTATTTGCCATCGAAGCTTGCCATGAAACAGAGGACGACAGTTAGTTTTCTGCGATGCTTCATTTGTGATGGTGGCAGATTATTGTGCGTTCACCGGTATGAATTTTATCTACTTCAGAGAGAGGAGCATATCGCGTCTCGTACATTTCGTCAAAATATTTCTGTTTTGTCTTTGCAATCCGTTTTGACCTCGGCTCTATCCCTGTGGCCATATATATATATTTTTTTTCATCATTTGCTTTCTTTAGTGGATTACTTTTACTTACATTCAGACTCGTCGCTTGAAGCACCAATCCACAAAATTTGGAGGTAAAAGGAGATTTATAAGGAGAGTTATTTCTTTCTCAGGAATGAAGGAGTGCTTACGATGTCGTTCGTATCACGCGAATGTGGAAAAGAAATGACATCAAAGAATGCATCCTTGGGAATTCAATAGTCTATAGACACGTTTGAAAGTGTCAACATTTCCTGTTTTGTTAACAATTACTGAAATAGACAAACTATTTGACACTTCTTAAAAAATATCCCCTAAAAATACAATCGAACCGTATTTATGGAACGCTGCCACTTGCAACGTGTGAGAGCATTCGCATCAAAAGTCCATTTAAGACTAAAACGAGAGTACTTCTAAGATATTCAGGGAATAACAAACAAACCCCTTTTGTCTCGCCATCGTTATTGCAAGGTATCAAATTGTTCATGGTCAGCTTTTCCTTCTACCCCTCAGGGCTGAGGAGCCCAGGGTTGGAGGGAGGGGTGGGGGGGAAGAATGTATTGAAGTACAACTTGGTTAATGTCATACAAATGATAAGCTAGCACATTCTTCCAAGATTTAACTCAAACATTTTTTTTTTTTGGCATACCATTTTGAACACGATTAATCGAGAGATTTCAGTAGAGGGGTAACAATAAGATTAACCGTTAGCCATAAAATGGCATAAAAAGAGGAAAAAATAGCCGTGAGGCGTAAAATTGACAACTCTTGGCCGCTAGTCGTTAAAAATGTAAACTGTAAAAATTAATATTTTAAAATAACAGAAAGAAATTAACTGTTAGCCGTAAAATGGCAAAAATTTTAACCGTTGGTCGTAAAAGCCATCACCTCAGGAGGAGGTTCTGATATACATTTCATCTCGGAATAGTTGGAGGAACACTCGAACCAAAACTCATAACGAAGAAAATAAAGTGCTCAACCAATCTTATACTTTCTGTTTGTTTCTGCCAATTGTTTGTTTGTTTTTCGTTTACATTTTTGCATGAAACTAAAGCAAAAACATTGGTCTTTACTAGTTCTTGATTCCACGATGAAGAACGTCAGCCAATTTCCAATTTTATCCAGTTTTTATTTCATCCTTCAATCCTGACCCTCTGAACTTCACTATCTGATTGTGTTAATTTTGACCCGAAAAATAAACAAATAGATAGCAGTAAATAAAGATAAATCAATGTCAAATCCTGGCCTTAAGAAGCTTCATGACCTCAACCTAAAGCTACCAGCTTGTGGTTCAATACCTTGAGTTATCCGCATTCAGGACAGATTATCTGATAATTAGGCTAACTTGCGTTGGTGTGGGACGGGCGGCTTAATAAAAGTAGGATTACGTGTGAGAAGCCAGCCCCCACTCAAAATTTTCATTCAGTTATGTAACAAGTTTAGCTCCACAACCTAAGATAGGTCTAGAATTTGTAGCCGTTACGTCACGGTCTAGTTTTATCTTTTGGCTTTCTTCGTTTTTGTTTTTTTCAATTTTGCAATCAACGCTATTTTCATATTTTCCGTCAATCTTGGTTATCTCCGTTCCAATTGCGCTCATCCTTTCTTCTTAAATGTTCATCGACTTTGGCAAACCTACAATAGTTGATTACTTAAGTTTCCATTTCAACTAAAAACAAGTTTCAACAACCTGAAAAGCCCTGAAATTAAAACATCTTGACGCACGAAATCTTTTTAACGTGAACTTCATGCGAAGTGCCATGAAAGGTACTTTGAATGTAATGTTTGGTTGCTTTCCTGATATCATCTGTCATTTTTCCGCTTTGAAGATTTACATCACCGCTCAGTCGTAAAAGAAAAATCTAAAACGAACTGGAGGATGGCAAAGAAACAAGTCCCAGGAAAGGAACAACAACACAGAAAGGTCATTTTAACAGTTTGAGTTCAAAATTGTTTAGACTTTTTACAATTTGTTTCCCGTATCAACTAACATTCCCCCCACGTTGTTTCAATGTCCGTCTCTAACACTGTATAAAGACTAGATTTTAGAATTTCTGACAGGGTTCTTAGAAGTTGATAAACATTATGTTAGTAACGGTTGAATCTCAGTTGACCATTAGAGCAATAAAAGCCACTTTAAACAATAACTCCCAGCAAGTACTATTAATCACGTTCTGCTTTTGCTGCTGGACTCGTTTTACCGCGCGACAATTGGTAATCAGTTGACTGAAACACGGTTATTGCTGACGAACAAACTAAATTTGAATGAGAAATTCGCATGTAAAATACTTGGAAACTCAATGTGTTACTTACCGACTTGACTAACTGAAGAACACCACAAAGCGAAGCTCGAACTTTGTTTTCCGTTTCTCTGCGTGATAAGACGGCCCTCGCATTAAACGTAGGTGAAAAGTAATCAAAATAAACCAAACCATGCTATCACACAGCAGGGAATCGACTTGTAATGAACACAATTTTTGGGATAGGTCATTTCAGCTACAAGGGGCTCACTCATGTTTTTTTTAAAAGAACAAATTTAAACGTCGTTTGCAATCAGTTCTCTGTTTCCGGTGTAGAAAGAAAAAGAACTTGCTTATTCTGCTATTGCTGCGATGACGCAAAAAATTGCAACTAAAAAACAAAATCGCGTGTTTGATCTAATTTTTTTTACGCTGCGACACATTAACTCCCATAGACGAGCCGCCACAAGACGAAAAAAGAATTGTAGTAAATTGAATTTAGCTTTAATTTCGTCTAGTAACTGACATTTTTAGCATTTTGTGGGTGAAACTTTATCAAGGAAGAACTTTGCATGACGCAACAAAGCGATTTGGTAATCAGAGCATAACAGGGATTGTATATAATTTATTGCGCCGAAACAGCACGTGAATTGATTGTGCTTGCGAAATGCTACCATTTCTAAATCCGAACCGAATGTTTATTTGAAACAATAAAAGCAAGGTGCGTCATATTTCCATGTTTTCACTACAACCTTTGTTCCCTCACAATTCACTTGTGTTCAGCCGTTGTGTCAATTTCCTTCTATGGATCTATGCCTATCGCACACGCTTGTTAGCAGTCTCTTGTTCAACGTTTGTAAAAGTAGTAGTGGATCAGTTCCTTGCAAAGATGTCATAGGGAATTAACCGAACATCAATTAGTTAATCGTGTCTACAAGATTTTTGCAGCTCGGTCCGTTGGTTCACCGAGAAAAGATGATTAGTCGACGTAGACGTTTCTCTTTGAGATGCCGCAACATCAAAGAAAACCTACTGTTAAAAAGTTTTCTTTGTTGTTCCTTCGACGAAATTATAATCGGTTCAGAATCTTTTAAATTCCTCTCTGCTTAAATTGTCGCGTTTACTTATAAGGATAAAATCTCATGCAACCGTACATTTGTACATACTTAGGGGGGTCATCGCTATATCACTGCCCGTCTCACAACATGCAGAAAGTTTATCTGGAGTTGCGTGTAACAAGTAACAGATTCACAAAGACATTTTCCCTGTTATGCTGTATTCAACTGTAACCTCACGTGGTGCGTTTGACTTAAACATTCTGCCGAAACTTTGAAAAAAATTATT